TTCCCTTCCTCTTATCCTTTTTTTTTTTTTTTTTTTTTTTTTTTTTTTGAGACAAGTTTTCTCTGTGTAATCCTGGCTGTTCTGGAACTTGCTCTGTTGAGCAGGCTGGCCTTAATTCAGAGAGCTGCCTGCCTTTGCCTTCTAAATGTTGGGATCAAAGGTGTGGTCCAGTAGCCAGGACACTTTCTGAAAATAAAAAAAACAAACAAAAATTACCCAAATGAATTGTATGTGGTGGCCCTTATCCCAGAATTTGTGAAGTAGAGGCAGGAGAATCAGCAGTTCACAATCATCTCCAGCTACATAGGGCACATCCCACCAGGCCAGCCTGGGCTATATAGACCCTGTTGTTTGCCAAGATGATCAGTTGTCAACAAAACAAAGCTAGCAGGATTTTTTTTCTTTCTTTTCTTTTTCTTTCTTTTGGTTTTTCGAGACAGGGTTTCTCTATGGCTTTGGAAGCTGTCCTGGAACTAGATCTTGTAGACCAGGTTGGCCTTGAACTCACAGAGATCAACCTGCCTCTGCCTCTGAGTGCTGGGACTAAAGGTGTGCACCACCAACACCCGGCTGCTAGCAGGTTATTAAAAATTGCCTTTACCTTTCTCTATTTTTCTAGAAGATCACACACAAAACACACAGCTCCCATTTTAAAGAGAATAAGAGATTATTCTGTGTGACCAGTGCCCAGGAACAGAGATTTAGGTTATTCAATGTTTGTGAAGGTTTATAGTTTTATAGAACAAAGAAAGTCATACATTAAGGCAGGTTTAAAATACGTTAGTGGACTGCCCAGCCTGTAGTGTGTGGTGCCATCCCAGTACTGGTGGTCCTGGATTTTATAAGAGAGCAGGTTGAACTGGGCAGTGGTGGCTCACGCCTTCAATCCCAGCACTTGGGAGGCAGAGACAAGTGGATCTCTGTAAATTCGAGGCTAACCTGGTCTACAGAGCAAGTTCCAGGATAGGCTCCAAAGCTACCCAGAGAAACCCAACCCACCCTGTCTCGAAAAACCAAACCAAAAAATAAGCACACATTTAATCCCAGCACTTGGGGGCCAGGTACAGGCAGATCTATCTATATGAGTCCAAGGCCAGCCTGGTCTACATAGTGAGCTCCAGGACAGCCAGCCAGGGGTGCACAGAAAAAACCTGTCTGGGGTGGGGGGCGGGAGAAAGCAGGTTGAGCAAGCCAGTAAATAGCACCCCTACAGGTTCCTGTCCTGTTGAGTTCCTGCACTGATTTCCTTTGATTCCATTGAGAAGCAGTTACAGCAAGAGAGGAGCTTTTCTATAGGTCCAAGATGCTATCTACTGGCTGGTGGAAGCTAGTGGTCTGTTAATAGATTCCAAAAGGTTTTGGTCTATTAGTCACAAGATGTTACCTCAGACACAAATGAGCTAGGAATAGCTGTTACAAAGGGGTAGAGCTAGCTTAAGATAAGGTAATTAGCCTGTGGGGCTGCAACATTCTGATCTCACACCACCACATTCTAAGCAGCCCATCAGCCACTGTAAACACAGTTTCTCTCTCTCTTTGCTTTTTGAGACAGGGTTTCTCTGTGGTTTTTGGAGGCTGTCCTGGAACTCACTTGACACAGCTTCTTCTCAGGAATTGTCCATACAAGTACCAACTCACTGGAGATCAGGTGTTCAGACCAAGAGCCTTCCTACTCACATCTTAGCTCTACACAAACATGTGTCCCTTTCCCTTCCTAGTATAGAAATGAAAATATTCTCAGAGGGGCTGGAGAGATGGCTCACTGGTTAAAAGCACTCAATGCTCTTGCAGAGGACCTGGGTTTGGTTCCTAGCACTCAAATGGTTCATAACCATTTGTAACTCCAGCTTCTAGGACCCCTAAGAATTCCTGTATGCATGTGTTGCTGTGAAACCAGACCAGGAGCCACCATGCTGGCTTCAGTTCGAAACAGGAGTCACACTGTTGTTAAGTCCCCATACCCTACAAGGATAGGTTTCCATTTCTAGTTAGGAACAAGTTTCTGTTTCTTAAACCTGATGTACCTTGCAAAACATGTTTTTGAATGTGCACTGATTCTGACTCCATGATGTATGAATGTCCCTTGTTTGCCCCTTGCCCTACAAAATGTTTTCAAGAATACTTCGATCTATACATGTGCCCACCAACCTCATGATGTATGCCTCCCAATTATGTGATGTACATTCTTGCTTTTTCATCTTTTTTTTTTTTTTTTTTTTTTTCTTTTTGAGACAGTTTCTCTGTGTAGCACTGGCTGTCCTGGAAATCACTCTGTAGACCAGGCTGGAACTCACAGCCTTTTGCCTCTGCCTCTGGAGTGCTGGGATTAAAGACATGTGCTGGACTATTGTCCAGCTCATTGTATTTTCTCTAACAGCCAATTATCTTGAACCTGTAAATGTCTTTACAGCTATTTTCTATTAACCTTGTGGGTTTTCTTTTTTCCTCCCTATAAAAGGACCTTAAAAAACTAGCCAGGTGTGCTCTTTGAAATCTCAATTTAGTGGACCTTTAGATAGAGCGTGGGACTGGAGCACTGAGGAGGCAGAGGCAGGTGGATCTCTGTGAGTTCGTGGCCAACCTGGTCTATTGAGTGAGTGAGTTCCAGGACAGTCAGGGTTACACAGAGAAACCCTTTCTCTAAAAAACCAAAATAACTAAATAAATAAACAAAAATAAATAAGAGCTTGCTTTAATTAGTCAATTATGGTCAGGCACACATAAAATATAATAAATATTTAGAACTTTTTTTGAGTAGGGCATGGTGGCACAGGTCTTTTTGAGACCTGTCTACAGCCTGGTCTACATAGTGAGTTCCAGGAGAGGCAAAGCTATATAGAGAGATTCTGTCTCAAAAAATAAACACAACCCCCCTAAAAAAAAAAAAAAAAAAAACCCAAAAGAGATTTTTATATTGTTACCTGTGTGTGTGTGTGTGTTTTAAAACAGGTATCACACTATGTGGCCAGACCTAGGTAGCCCAGAATTCAGAGAACCACCTGCTTCTGCCTGCATTTTAAGTGCTGGGGTTAAAGGCGTGTGCCAGCACCTTCTTTATCCTGGCTCTTCTGATTTTTAGTTTCTTCAATAGTTTGTTCTCATCTCCCAAATTCTGTTCTTCCAGTGTGATGATGAGTGACTGAAACCTAACAGCCATTCCTGTACTTCTCAGCTAGCAGTGAAGGTAAAGTAAGGGACAGCTGTAGCTAAGCCACCTTTTGACAGGGCTTTGAGAATCCCTAGGGGTAGGGAAGCTGTGGCATGCTGTGGGGGCAGGGGTAGGGGAAGTAGGTACATTCTTCAGTCCTTTAGAAGCAGTCCTTTGAGGAACTATCTTGATTTTTACCTTCTAGTCTAGAAGGTTCCCACACAAATACTCAGGTCTACCTATTTTACTGTCAGTGTTATCGAAAATGGGAGGAAGGAAGAGGGCTGGAATTACAAGTGCTTATCTTGCTTGAGGCAGGATCTTGCCTCAAGCAGAACTCCCCAAGTAGACTAGGTTAGCCTGGAGTCAGTGTTGATTCCCAGTTTCTGCCTAAGGAGGGCTGGGGGCTGTGGGTATGTACCTCCCGGCCAGCCTCACCTATCGACTCCCTGGATTCTTTCTTCATTTCCTTGCAGTAAAATGAGGACTTTGAGGATGGTACCGAATTTCCTTTCTCCTTTTAGTTTTAATGGGCCGATGAGAACGATTGTGGTGGGGTGTTGAGCTCACCTTGCACCCTGGGAGGTGGAAGTAAGGGGAATCAATTCAAGGTCATCTTCAGGTACAAAGCAAATTCCAGGGTAGCTGAGAGGCGAGTAGTTCCTGGTCATTTGTTCTTGAAAACAAATTTTAACATTTGAATTCCTTTTATCTAGAAGGCGGCTGGGAGGTGCCTGACCTTGGATGGTAGTCTATAAACTTTATCTTCTGCAATCTTGACTTCACTCTTCTCTGAACGTTCTGATTTTACTGTAAAGGAAATTAAGTTTTCAGGTACCTCCAACAATCTAAGGGATTTAAGCGCGCTCTCCTCTCTCCCCTCCCTTCCTCCCTCCCTCCCTCCTTTCCTCTAGCCTTGGCGTGGGTCCCGGCACTATATGTACATTAGGTTAAATATGATGGTCTTATAAGGGAGGCTAGCTTCAAACTACTTTAAGGAGGATGACCTTGAACTTCTGAGTCTCCTGGCTCTGCTCCTGTGTTTTGTTTTGAAATTTTACTGTGTGTGAGTGTCATGGTGTGCAGGCCGGCATGATACTGCACGCAGTATGGAGTTGGTTGTTCCCTTCCACCTTTGTGTGGGTTCTGGAGATGGAACTTAGGACATCCGGACTTGCATGTGCTTTTACTCGCTGACGCAGGTCAGCAGCCTCTAGAAACATTTTGTATACCATTTAGTTTACAACTAGGAGTCGAAACATGGCTGGTGCCACACTTCTAGGGGCAAGGCCTTTGAAAATTCATTTAATTTGTTAAAGCATTTAAAAATCTGAGAGTTCTTGCCTACATTGTGTAAGGCTCTAGGTTCCGTCTCTAACCTGCATCCCCTACAAAAACAAATCAAAACAAAACAAAAAAGCAAAAAACCCCACAAAACTTCAAGACAGGAGGTGGTGGCACACTCCATTAATCTCAGCACTCAGGAGATGAGGCAGGTGAATAGCTAAATCTAAGGTCAGCCTGTCTGCACAGTGAGTTCCAGGGCAGCCGGACGACACTGAGAAACCAACCCTGCTTCGAAAAATCAACAAAACAAAATCAAATAAAATATACAGCGCTCCGGTGGGCCGGCCTCACCTACACGGTACTGGGGACGGTCGGCCTCGGTGGGGTGAACTGGAGCTGGGTGGCTGCGCCTAGCGAGGGTGGACCATTGGCCGGCCGGCCGGGGGCGGGGTCGCGGCGGGCTTGTGCGCCCCCGGAGGGCGAGCCCGCGACTCCGACGCCCCTGCAGCCTCGGAGAGTGCGCCGTGCCGCGACGCAGACTGCCGGGCTCGCGAGCCGGGGCGCCATGGTCCATTTCTTGCACCCGTTGCTGTGCCCGCGGACCCTGGTGCTGCCCGACGCGCAGGAGGACGCGCGGGGCCGCAGCGTGTTGCAGGTGAGTGTGGCCGCCGTCCCGGTCCCCGGCGCCCGTCGTGGGCGCGCCCGCGGGCTGCTGCGGGACGGTTCCCTGGGGTTCGGGCAGGCCCGCCTGGGCTCCGTGGACGTCGCGTCCCGCCCTCGCGTGGTCCCTGTTCACCGCGCCGCCGAGGGAGGCGCCGCAATTCAAGCCCTTTCCACACCGAGGGTCCCGCTGCGCTCCGGCGTCGCCCCCCTCAGTCCCCACCCCAGCGCCTCTCCCCAGAGCCTGCTCCCCTCAGACCCCAACCCAGCAAGCCCTTTCAGCTCCTCTCAGCCTTTTCCCCTCAGCGACCCCCACCTCGTCCCTCTCCTCAGCCCTTTTCCTCAGTGCCTCTCTTCAGCCGCCCACTCACCCTTTAACAGTGCAGAGAAGGCAGAAATTGGAAAGCCCGAGGTTGAGAGGGTCTGCACCAGAACTTGACCCGGAGTGTGCTGACCTTGGGTGCTCAATACCACCTGAGGAACGAAAACTCCCGAGGTCGCCTGGTTACCCCTGAGTTTGGGAGGCTGAGTTTAGAGGGAAGGAATCAGTCTAGTTGAGGGTTTTGGTTTTTTGTTTGTTTAATTTTTGTTGTTTTTGAATGTGGAGGTGAAACTCTAGGGCTCCCTTGGTAGTTTTACACCCAGCTCTGGGAAATTGTGTATGTGAGAGAGATGGGGTCTCCCTGTGCAGCCTGACTAGCTTCAAACTCAGTTCTGCCTCAGTCTCCTAAGCACTAGGATTATAATCAGCTACCAATAAGGCCAGCCAGGCCTTTTAATTTTTTCTCCTGGAACTCACAGAGACTGGTGCCTCTGCCTCCTGAGGGTCAGATTTAAAAGCATATAGCTTGATCCTGTCTTTAAAGGTTCATGTAAAATTGCGTTGCATTTGCAAATACATAAAATTGACTTTTGTATACCAAATGTTGTATTCTCTTGCCCTTCAAAAGTTACTTTCTCCATTTTTGTTTGTTTGTTTGTTTTGTTTTTCAGACAGGGTTTATCTGTGTAGCTTTGGAGCCTGTCCTGAAACTAGCTCTTGTAGACCAGGCTGTCCTCAAAGTCAGAGGTCACCTGCCTCTGCCTCCTGAGCACTGGGATTAAAATTGCGTGCCATAATCTTTTTAATGTGTACGGTATCTGTAATTATTTTCTGGTTGGTAATTTAAATTTTTTTCCAACACACACCGTGTTTTGGCCTTGTATTCCTGGAGAACCTATTTTTTTTTTTTTTAAATTTCCCTTATTTTGCTTGTTTGATGTGTAATTTGGCTTTTTGATTGTCCTTATATGTCCCAGGCCTCAACTCCAGCTTCCAGTGCAGCTGAGTGTGTCCTCCTGTGTTCATGTCACAAGTGTTGGGTTTAAAGGTTTGGACCTGGAATTTATTTATTTTTTGCTCTATGTAGCCTCTGTAGACCAGACTGGCCTGGAACTCAGAGAGATCTACCTGCTCTTGCTTTCCCAGTGCTGGGATTAAAGGCGTGCACCACTAACACCTTCCAGGACTTCACCCCCCACCTCCACATATACATGGGACTCCTATATACAGGCAAAATACTCAAACACATAACAATACATATGTATTCTGCTATAGGTTGCATAATCTACAGATGTTAAGATGGTTAAAAATATTAGTCTTGGGCTTGAGAAATGGCCCAGAGGTTATGGTTACTGCTCTTGCAAAAGTCTTGAGTGTGGTTCCTAGTGTGGTTTATAATTGTCTGCAGCTCCAGGGGACTCTGATGTTTCTGATGTCTATGAACACCTGCATTCATGCACATTTAGCCACACACAGACACACACTCATACACAAATCTGTTTTTAAAAGTTAGTCTTTATTAGGTGTGGTAGTGCACATTTATAATTCCAGCAGCTGCAGGAGACTCACTGCAGGTTCAAGACCAATTTGATCTACATAGCAAGTTGCAAGGCAGTTATCCTGGTATTGGCATTTATAATTATAGGTTTATCCACCAGGCCTGGCCCTTATCCATCTCTTTTTCTTTCAATTAATTTATTTATTTTGAGGCAGAGTCTCATTATATAGCCCTGGCTGTCCTAGAACTCACTATGTAGATCAGGCTGGATTCAAACACATAAAGCCCCAACTGTCTGCCTCTGCCTCCCCGGTGCTGGGATTAAAGGTAAGTGCCAATACTATGTTCAGCCTTTTTTTTTTTTTTCTTCTTTCTTTCCCTACTGACCCATCTTGTTGGCTTTTTCATCATATGTTTTGAAACAAGAGTCCACACTGAAGCCAATTAAAGAGACACATTAATAGTGAAAGGTAGAAAAAACAGGTTTATTCAGTATGATCACACTGGTGAAGAGTGGCACAGAGATCCAGTGATGGCCCTGTATACACAACTTCAGAGTCCTAATGTGAGTTTTAGATGTAAGTAGAGGGCCAGGAAGTTATACATCACAGGAAGAAACAAGATGTGGTTCTGCCCATCGCTGGCCATTGATCATTGTTTCAACTCCAGTCTGTCCTGCAAGGTAGTATGGTAAATTGCAGTGGTCATAACAGAAGACAAGCTCCCATGGCTAGCCCCGGGCTTCCGCCTTTTTCTTCCCCAGCATGATTCTAGGAGGAACTGCAATTTCTTGCCATACATCCCTTTGTGTGCTGGACAAAGCAAGGGACAGAAATTTCTATTTAGAATATACTCATTCCTGCTGTGTAGGCTGGTTATATCCCAGAGCTTCCTGTTTCTGCTAGACTAGCTAGGTGCCCCCAGCATCTGCTTGTCTTTGTTCTCCAGGACTGGGGTTATAAGCTTCATCTGGCTTTTATAAGGGTGCTAGGGATCTGCTCTCACCTCTGTGTGTGGCAGGTACTTTGGGTCCTGTAAATTGCAGGAACTTCAGAGATGTGGCAGTTGCTTACTGCTGAGCTTTGTTAACAAACATCTTCCAACTGGACGATGATGGATGCCTTTAGTCCCTGCACTCAGGAGGCAGAGGCAGGTGGATTTCTGTGAGTTGCAGGCCAGCCTGGTATACTGAGTGACTTCCAGGACAAGCTCCAAAGATAACACAGAGAAAACCTGTCTCGAACCCCCCCCCCCCCCCCCGGGGAAAAACAAAAACAAACAAACAAAAACAACCTCCTCCGTAGTGGACTGTTGGAATTGAATTCAGAGGACATTTCAGCACAGGAGTAACTGAAGCTGGAGTTGAATTCCTGATCCTTCCGCCTCTGGGGTACTGGGATCAAAGGTGTGTACCATCATACCTGGCTAAGAAAATGTTTTTTTCTTAGGAGACAAAGATTGCTACGAGTAAGTTTTTGATGTGTTTTTTGAGACCGGGTTTCTCTGTGTAGTCCTGGCTGGTGGCTCATGTTTGCATCCCAGCCTGGGGAAGTGAATGTAGGAGGGTTAAAAATTCAAGGTCATCTGGGCAGCACATGCCTTTAATCCTGAGTTCAAGACCAGCCTGGTCTACAACAGAGGAAGTGCCAGGACAGCCTCCAAAGCTACACAGATAAACCCTGTTTAAAAAAAAAAAAGTTCAAGGTCATTTTTGGTTACATACTGAGTTTGAGGCTGGTCTTACAGGAGACCTTACCTAAAACAACAAAACCCTAGAAAATGTGTAGCTATACCTCATTTCCAACACTTGGAATGCTGAGGCTATGTGACTTCAAGTTGGAGGTCAGACTGGATTACTAGAGAGATGCTATTTAGTAATAAATGGATAACATCATCAGGCTTTGAACTGATCTCCCTCTACCTGCCCTTACCCCTTACCTCCCCAATGAGTGCCACCATGCCTACCAATAAAAAAAAAAATTATTATTTCATTTACTTGTGGGTGCAGGCATGTGGAAGTAAAAGGGCAGCTCCTAGGAGGTAGCCAGGTCTTTCCTGTCACTCCGCCCCCACCCCCCACGCCCCAATACAGGGTTTCTTCATGTAGCTTTGTAGACCAGGCTGGCCGAACTCATAGTTTTTAATCACAGTACTTGGACAGATGAGGCAGGAGATTTACTGAGAGTTTGAGGTCAGCACTAGCCACATAGCATCTGCTCATATACTACATTTGGGATTGGGTTATTTTTCTAGGACCTTGGAGTACATGAAGGTATTTATATGAAATTTTCCTGAATTTTTAAATTAATTTATTTTGGGGGAGCACATGCGGAAGGAGGCAGGAGTGCAGAGATCAGAGGACAACTCTCAGGAGTTGGTTCTCTCATCCCATCATATAGGTCCTAGTGAGCAAACTCAGGTTGTCAGTCTTGGCAACAAGGGCCTGTACCAGCTGAGACATCTCACCTTCCCTTTCCTGACTTCTTAGTTTAAGCACTGACAATTCTAAAACTGGATTTCCAAAGCTGCTTTAGCATTACCTCATAGGCTCTAGTAGGCTGTGCTTCCATTTGCATTTGATTCCAGAGTAATAATGATTGTTAAATTATTACTACTATTATTGTTGAGGCCAGCTCTTAATATGAATACCTGGTTGGCCTGGAACTTACTATGAAGACCAGGCTGGCTTTGAACTCAGAAATATGACTGCCTCTGCCTCCCAAGTGCTGGGATTAAAGATGTGCACTATCATGCTTGACTGGTTGGGTTTTTTTTGTTGTTGTTGTTTTGTTTTGTTTAATTTAGTATGTGCTGTATGTGGTATATGGAGGGCAAACACTACTTGTGGAAATTCGGTTCTTCTTAAGGATCAAACTCAGATAATCAGGCTTGGCAGCAAGTACCTTTACCTTCTGAGCCATCTTGCTGGCAATAACCACTTTATGTTGAGTGTTTGCAGATGAATTCTAACATTTTTCTTTTTTCCTCTTCTGCTTACTTAGGAGGAAGCATCACCCTTCTCTTTGTTCAGCATCTGCCTGGATGTCTTGATTGGCAGCTTAGAGCAATGGTGTTCTAAAAGACCTGATGGAACATTGTGCCTTCCAGAGCATTGGTGTTTCCCTCGTGAAATAGCCGATCGGTTCCTTGAGAGGATGGCTTGGCAAGGTACTAAACATAATGCTTTACTTGTGTGTGTGTGTCTCACTGAGTTTAATTAGGGCTTACAGAGGCATTGGTGAGGGGTTATTTACAGGAGTGCAGGCCCACCTTACCAGTGGCTGTACTATTGAAGACAATCCCCCACTCCTGCATGCACAGCAACCATTACTTACATTTATATCCTCCTGGAGGAGGGCTCTTGTGATTTCGTCTCCCTCTGACAGAATGCTGACTAGCTCAGTCTTGTGCAGGTCTTATTACTGATACAGCCACTGAGAAAACACGATGCGGCAGCCATGTTATGAAGGAAGAAAGTGTTCAGTGACACTCTACACCTTCCTCTGGCTTTTAGCGTTCTTTTCCTCTGTCTCTTCTGCAATTTCCATGAGCCTTGGAATGGGTAATAGAGAACACTCATTTAAGGCTCAGCTTTCAACAGGCTTTTTATTTCTGTTTATTTTTTTGTGGGTGGGGGTGCCCTTGTGTATACATGCAGAGTCTAGAAGACATCAGGTGATCCGCCTTATCATTTTCTTCCTTAGCTCCTTGAGACGGTCACTTACCAAGCCCAGAGCTAGCCCGTCAGCCAGCAAGCCATAGCAACCCCTTTTTCCATACCGGCACAGCTCTAGGGTGGTAGATGTGTTTGGCCATGCTGGGCTTTTCACTTGAGTGCTGGGGATCTGAATTCTGGTTTTCATGTTTGCATAGCAAGTACTCATACCCCCCAAGACAGTTAGTCATTCCTATCAGCTAAGCAGTAATAAAGACTTAAAAGTAGTTGGAAGGTAGTTGCATGGGTATGTCATGTTTGATTAACAAAACAACAGTACCTTCCCTACTAAGGCCTATATACCTCCCTGGCTACAGGCTTTTGACCAAGTTTGCAGTACCAGAAATACATTCCCTCTTGTGGCATGAACTTCAAATCCAGCTAAAGGACAGTTGGTTATTCCTATTACAGACTTGCCACTATTGCACAGTCTTGCCTGGCCCCTCAGTAGTGTAGTCCATGTTGAGTAAGACTTGATGGTTCGTCCCTGACAGCCTACTTAGCACCTTTCTGCACTATCTATATAAGGTCTGGCCAGCAAGGGAGGAAGCTTTCAACTCAGTTCCAGCTTGATTACTTGATTACTTATACAATCAAAGTGTATAGCATCTTCAGCAGTAGGGTCTTAGTTACCCTCTAAGTCTAGACGGTATCCAACAACAGTGACAATAGCCTAATATTTTGGGAGCCTCAGGAACCTCAGTGTTTTATTATTTGAAAAATGCCTTTATAGTTCTTGCTTTGAGTATATGAATCTTTACAGGAGGATCTAAGCTTTCTAAGTTATTCTTGCTGTTAGCCTAATAATAGGTAAAGAAAATGAAGCCATTGTTATTTATTACCTGTTTCTGGCTTCCAACATTCTGTTGCATTCTCATTCTTTTATTCTTTATATTATGGCATGGGTGTGAGCCTTTTAAGTTTCTTTGAGGTTGAAGATGTAGCTCAGTGGTGGGAAACATGTCTAGGGAGATTCAGGACACACAAAATAGCCCAGACTCAATGGTACGTGCCTGTAAATCCAGCACAGAAGAACAGGAGGCAGGAGGATCAGAATAACCAGTCATCTTCAACTTTTAATGAGCCTGAGGCCAGTCTGGGCTCTAGGACATTCTGACTTGGGTCTAAAAACAGCTACAAGAAAGAAGAGAGCAGCAAGAAGGCTTAGTGTAAGTGCACTGGACATTAAGCCTGATGGCCCAGGTTCTAGCCCTGGGACCTACATGGTGGAAGGAAAGAACATGGCATCCGTGTGTCCCCTTTCCCTCCAGATAAATTGTAAAACATTAAAACAGCAGTAAGAAACGAACAATGCAAAGGAATAAAAGGCTATATTTGATTTGCTCTCATTTTTGTGTGTATGTGTATACACAGGAGTGGAGGTCAGAGGACAAATTGCCACAGTTGATTCTCTCCACCCTGTGGTTCTAGTGCTCAAACTCAGGTGGTCAGACTCTGCAGCAAGCTCCTTTATCTGCTGAGCCGTCTCACTGGCCCTTGTAAAATGTTATTTAATTTGAGAAAGAGTCTTACTATGTAGCCTAGCTGGCCTGATCCTTGCTGTATAGTTCAGGCTAGCTTCAAACTTATGGAGATTCTTGTGTCTCAAGGCATGTATGTACCACCACACAAACCTATTACTTTTCTTTTAAAAAAAGATTTTATTTTTTTATGTATATGAGTGTCCTGCATATACATATGTAATGTATCACATGTGTGCCTGGTGCTCAAGAAGGCCAGATAATGGCATTAGATTCCTGGGACTGGAATTATAGGTGATTGTGAGCTGCCATGTGGGTAGTCTGCAAGAGCAGCCAGTGCCATCGCTCCAGCCCTTATTTCATTTTTTTTTTTTTTTTTTTAGATAAGGTCCCATCTCTTAAACTCCAGCATGCAAGCAATCCTTGCCTCAGCCTCTTGAGTAGTTGACACTACAGCCTGCATCACCACACCCAAGGGAGGGTATTTTACAGAGTTCTGCTGAGGTTCAATATCTCTCATTTGTTGTGCTTAGGGACTGGAACATTTTGAATTTGGGAATACAATTGAACTCCTTGAATCTGAAATACTGCAGTGTGTGTGCACGCGCATTGTGATTTGCTGTGAGTGTCAGGTCCCCTGGAACTGGAGTTACAGACAGTTGTGAGCTGCCATGTGGGTGATGGAAATTGAACCCAAGCAGGTCCTCTGGAAGAGCAGCCAGTGCTTTGCACCAATGAGCCATTGTCCATCTCTCCAGCCCCGATGTTGGCATTCTTGACCCCATCTCATTCCCAACAGAATTCATCCCAATTATTTACTGTCCCAAAATTTGTTGGGTTTTTGTTTTGGACAGTTTCATGCATCCTCCCCTAGGCTGACCTCAAAATCAAATATGTAGCCGAGGATGTTCACCCCTCCTCTGACTCCCAAATGTTGGGATCACAGGTATTTGACATCACACCTAGCTATGCTCCCCCCCCACCATACTTCCCCCCACTTCAGGTTTTTCGAAACAGGGTTTCTCTGTATAGCCTTGGCTGTCCTGGAACTTGCTCTGTAGACCAGGTTGGTCTCAAACTCAGATTGTGTGTGCTCCTGCACACAAGTGGATGTCAGTTTTCTCATTTTTCAATACATGGGTCCCTTGGGATTGAAACTCCGGTCATCAGGCTTTGCAGCAATTATCTACTGGTATGCCCTCCTAGATTAGTTCCTTGGGGTACTAAATGGAGTCTAGTACAGCCTGTTCATTTTGCAGCTGAAGAAAATAAAATCTTCCAGGGTTGCAGTTAAGAACACTAGTTGCTCTTGCAGAGGCTCCTAGCACCCTACATGGTGGCTCACAACTATCTGTAACATCAGTTCCAGGGGATTGGATCTCCTCTTCTGACCTCTGTGGGCACCAATCACACGCATGATGCACTTAGACACATGTGGGCAAAATACTCATACACATTAAGTAAAGCAATCTAAATATTTTTTTTAGAAGAGAAAGAAAATAGGGATAAGTAAGTGGCTTGTTAAGTAGTCATCCTGTATTTTGATTTAAAGTGATCATAACAGAAAAAGTTCATTCACATCTTTAATCATAGCACTGGGGAGGCAGAGGCAGGCAGAGCTACATAGTGAGACCCTGTCTTGAATCCCCCATCTCTCCCTGCCCCAAAGTGATTATAATAGGGTTATTTGCTTATTGTTTGTCCCCTATTGGATTTTATGTTTTGTTTTCTGTGAACAAGGTTGCTATAGATAAGCCTGAGCTCCAAATTACAACCTTCCATAAGTTGACTTTTGGGAAGTTAATCTTTTAGTTTTCTCATCTAACACTCCTAATGGTCCCCACCTAGTGTTAGTGCCAACAATAAAGGAGGTAAGCTTGGAGAAGAAGAGTTTAGAATACTGTCTGGCAGCAATAAATATGGTCAGATTTGTTTTGTTTTGTTTTTCAAAACAGGGTTTATCAGTAGCTATGGAGCCAGTCCTGGAACTCACAGAGGTCCACCTGCCTCCGACTCCCAAGTACTGAGATTAAAGGTGATGGCCACCACTGCCAGGTGTGGTCAGAATTTTTAGTAGCATCTGTCCTCCTCATTCACTGCTACTTCACAGCCAGAAAAGACTGGGAGATTTGGTTGTCAATGTAAGCAGCTCTGCTTTCCTTACAGGCAAGATAACTGACAGAACAGCAAGCATTTTCCAAGGCAAGCAAACAAACCTGAAGCTGATAAATATCCAAAGCGCTGAACTCTCACCCTCAGTCTTCACAAAAGCCTTCTGCCATCACAAGCTTGTTGAAGTGGATGCCACCTCAGTGGACTCTGAGCTTCTAGCCTCAGACATCATCCATGCTCTCCAAAGCAGTGCCTGGATCCAGAAAAACCTTCAGTGTCTTCGGTTAGACTCAACTAGTGTCCCTCAAAACTCAAGACTACAGGCCTTGGGCCAGTTCACTGGTCTTCACACTTTAAGCGTTGCCAATGTGTCCTTTTGGAGTGAAGACCTAGTGAGCGTTTCTCAGTTACCAAAGCTGGAAAGCTTGGATATCTCCAATACCCTGATCACCAATATCTCTTCACTCCTCACCTGTAAGGACCGGCTCAGATCTCTCACGATGCACCACCTGAAATGCCTGACTATGACAAACCCTCAAATTCTTGCAGTCTTCAGTCAACTGAAATGCCTGCTTCACCTTGATATTTCTGATCACAGGCAGCTCAGGTCAGACCTGGCTTTTCATCTGTTACAGCAGAAGGACATCCTGCCCAAACTTGTATCTCTGGATATTTCTGGGGGCGCTGACATCACTGATGAAGCTGTGAGATCCTTTTTACAGCAGCGGCCAGAGATTCGGTTTGTGGGACTCTTGTCCACAGATGCTGGTTATTCCTATTTCTTTATGGAAAAGCAAGGCTTGAAGGTTTGTTCTAATGTACAGTTTTGTTTTATTTGTTCAGAACATTAAATGTTCCTGAACATTAGAATCTCTGTTAGGTATTGGTTACTTATACAGAGTCCTTATTTTATGTTTTGTTTTGAGACTGGGTCTTTCAGCATGACCCTGGCTGTTGTGGAACTCACTATGTAAGCCAGGCCAGCCTTCAACCCACAGAGATGCACCTGTCTCTGCCTCCCAAGTGCTGTGATTAAAGGCCTGTGCCACCACAACCAGCCTTCCCTAACAGTTTGTAACTATCATAGTTGGTCTAACAAGTTGTGGGGCTGTATTGTTAAGATATAGTTCCAGAGGGACTGTAGCCACGTAGTGGCTACATGTAGTGGATAAAGTGTTTTCTGGGCAAGCATGAGACTCTGAATTTAGATCTTCAACATCCCTGTTTTGAAAGTGGGGAGTAGTGGATGTGGCAATGTTTGTAATGTCTACCCTGGGGGCAGAGGTAGGCTGATCCCAAGAGCACATCAGCCAGCCAAGATAGCCAGTTGTTAAGCTCCAGCCAGGTTCAGTAAAAACTTATCTTAAAATATGACTACAATTAACAATGGTAGAGATGCTAGTGAGGAAGACTCCTTCTACGAAGGCCTTTGGCCTTCACGCCTGCTCTCTGGGGTGAACACACCTGCTTGCATAGTTGCATACATATGCCTCACCCCCCCCCCCCCCCCAAACACACAGAAACTGTTTCAACCTCCATGTCCAGCTTGATGGTGATAGCTATAGCCACTTTTCCCCTAACTGCACAGACCCCAAATGCTAGGGTTACAAGTGCAACCTATCATACCTAGCCCCACCCCCCCCCAAAAAAAAGTTCTGAAGGAGTGGGGATGTATCTTAGTGGTCATTCTAGCATATGCAAGGTCCTAGGTTTGATTATATGGATGGAAAAAAATTTTAAACCATTGCTTGAATAAGTAAGTGTATATTACTACCTTTTAAAAAAGCATATACTTGGGTGTTGGTGTCGAACTCCTTAAATCTCAGCACTTGGGAGGCAGAGGTAGACGGATATCTGTCAGTTCAATGTCAGCCAGGTCTATAGAGCCAGTTCCAGTACTGCTCCAAAGCAATACAGAGAAACCCTGTCTCGAAAAACAAGAACGAAAAACAAAAAAACATATATTTAAATTAATAAAATCAGTTTTTTTTTTGTTTTTTTTTAAATACTGGATGTGGCAAATGTTCTTTAATCCTGGCATGAAGCAGAAGTGGGTAGATGAAAAAAAATACTGGAAAAAAAAAACTTACTGGATGCTGGTTGAGACAGGGCCTCACGTTCATCTTCAATCCAGTTTACAGATTGTCTGTCTACTTACTGTTGGGATTAAAGGTGTGTGCTATAGAGACCTCACTCGTGTGTGTGTGTGTGTGTGTGTGTGTGTGTGTGTGTGTGTGTGTGTGTGTTCCTAGTGTATGTATATAACATTTTTGCAGTGGGCATAGAGACCAGAAGAAGGTATCATATTCTGGAACTGGAGTTATAGGCAGCTGTCCATCATACAGGCACAGCCTGGGTCCTGTGCTAGAGTAGCAAGTACTCTTAACCACCGAACTGTAAACAGCCAGAGTGAGCATACTTTTTCTGGTGTTAGATGAGCATACTCTATTTCTGTTTTGAAAATCACTGTTTTAGACACTACTCTTGTGTATTTCATAGTTTTTTAAATTTATTTTTTAATTTATTCATGTGTATATGGGGAGTGCCCATGTGACTGCAGGTGTCTGTGGGATCCAGAAGAGGTTGTTGGATCTCCTGTTGCTGGAGTCACAGCCAGGTTCTGCTTGCTGTGCATGCTGGGAACTGAACTCTGGTTCTATGTAAAAGTAGTATAAGTGGTATGAATTTTTAAACTCTGAGCCGTCTTTCCAGCCTGGATTTTTTTTTTAATTTTATTTTATGGGCCATTTAAAAATCCTCTTGTTTCTAAAAATAAGGTAGAAAGTAATAGAGGAAGACAGTACTACCTCTGGCCTCTACTTATATAAACACAGGTATACATGTATACACCCTCTACAGATACCCCCTCCACAAATCCTTTAGTGAATAAGTGCCTGTATAATTCCTCAGTATCAGTGATATATGTGGCTTCTATTGCCATTTACTTGTGGGGAGGGGTTTTGAGACAGAGTTTCTCTGTGTAGCCCTGGCTATCCTGGAACTCACTCTGTAGATCATGCTGGCCTAAAACTCAGAGACCCACCTGCCCCTGCCTGCCAAATGCTGGATTAAAGGCACACATCACCACTTCGTGTCTTACATTTTTTATTTTAATTTGTCTTTGAAGCTTTTATGTGTATGAATGTTTTCTTTTATGTTTGTATGTGTACCACTTGTGTGCCTGGAGCTGGATGAAAGCAGAAAGTGTCAGATCCCTTAGAATTGGGGATTACAGATGAATGTGAGCCACCACTTGGGAGCTAGGAATCAAATTTAGGACTTCTGCAAGAACAAGTAGTCTAAACCACCGAACCATATCTCAACCCTCTTATTTATTTATTTACCGTTATTTTTAATTTTTTTTTTTTTTTGAGAGAGTGTCTTCTTATAATCTCTGACTTGCTATGTAGACCAGGCTGTCTTCACAGAGATCCACTTGCTTCTGTTTCCCCCCCCCCCCAACCCCAGGTAGGTGCTAGGATTAAAAGATGGTACCACCATGCCTGGTTTAAAAATAAATGTCCTTAGCATGTACTTGTCTACATGATGTATTTGCATGAGGGTGTCTGTGTCAATGAATGCATTTGGAGATCAGAGGACAACTTTCAGGAGTAGATTCTCTCCCAGCAAACTCATGTCACCAGGCTTGGCAGCAGCCCCTAGCCCCATTATCACTATTATTATATTATATTTTACACTGTATGTGTGTGTGTGTGTGTGACAGAGAGAGAGAGAGAGAGAGAGAGAGAGAGAGAGAGAGAGAGAGAGAGAACGTGTGCATGACATGTCTGAGGAGGGACACATGGGTGGAAATAAAGGATAACTGTGGAGTCAGCTCTCGCCTACATTTATATGAGTTCCAGGGATTGAACTCAGGGAGAAGATGAGTTTAATAAACCTTTCTTTGCCTCAGTTTTTTAAAGCCTTACTCCCTTCCTTGCTTTTGTCTTTCATACACCAAAGTTCATACTGAGGCTCCAAGTCTTGTGCTTCTGGTTTATTGGAAGAATTGTTCTTAGCTGAAATGTAGTTTTGCATTTTTTTTTTTCTCATTCCTTCTGATTGCTATGGGGTTGGTTCGAATCGTTCCACTTTTGGCAGTTCTTTTTTCAAAAGTACTGCCCTAGGTGGACACACCCATGTGATCCCAGGGCTGGTGAGGCTGAGGCAGGTGGATTGAGAGTTTGAAGACCCTGTCTCAACAAAACAAAAGCGCTTGTCAGTTTGAGTGCCGGCATGATGGTGTGAGTGGTGGAGGCAGGATGGAAGTTTTGAGCTTCTTTAAATTTTTTAACTTATTCTTTACTACCCAGGAATTTGAAAAATTGATTTGTCATGTCTAGTGGTTTTTTTTTTGTTTGTTGTTTGCTTGTTTGTTTTTTGTTTTTGTTTTTCATTTCCTATGTTTTGGAGAGTGGCTATAGGATAGGGTGTGGGAAGTAGAAGGTATGATTGAAAATCAGGAGGCCTCCAATACCTTTACGCCAATTGAAACGGGCTGTTTAAAACACATCATCCTGAGATAGCTAGGGAGAGTTATGGCATATGAGAAGTGGGGTTAGCACCAAGGACAAGTAAGTTCTTTTTCCTGTGCCTTACCCCCTTTACTGGATGCTTTTTCCTTAGCATTCTGATAGGCCTCCATCATGATTGTTGAGTGTTGGAACTTTGCATATACCTGTGTGGCTTGTTTGTTGTTTGCAATTAGGAACTGTACCATGCATGGGCTTCACACTGGCTAGGCAAGTAGTCTACACCAAAGCAAATACCCAAACCACAGTCAACTGAGGTTTTGTGGTTTCTGTTTCTTCCCCCTAGTCCTTGATTCAGACATGGGGGCTGGCTGGTCTCAATTTTGAGAATTCTCTTGCCTCTGCCTCCTGAGTTTTGTATTCCAGGCATAACTGGACTATAGTTTAGGGAGAAGTATGTGATTCTGACACTACCACCAACTTGTTTTGTTATGATACCGAGCTGCACGTTTCACTTATTGGATAGATGTGTAAAATGGAGGTTGGGTTGAGGAACACAAGATTCTGTTAGAATTTGGACTAAATGGGAGCAACTCTGTAAACTACCTACTATTGCTTTGAAGCTGGCAGAACCCAAATGCTTGTGTGAGGAGGTGAAGCCTCCTGTGACTCCACGTTTTTCAGGTTGCTGGAGGAGCCAACGTGAATCAGATTTCTGAAGCATTGAGCCGGTACAGGAACAGGTCATGCTTTGTGAAGGAAGCTCTCTACAGGCTCTTCACAGAGACGCTTTCACTGCAAGTCATCCTGCCTGCCACTCTAAAGGTACTGCAGAAACATTTCATTTCTTGCTTGGTCAATTGAAAGTTGTTTACTAGCAGGCATGCTAGTGCACACCTTTAATTCTTCCAGCATTCTAGAGGAAGCTGAAGACAGATCAATGTGAATTTCAGGCCAGCCTAGTCTACATAGTGAGATCTTATCTCTGGAAGAAAAAAAAAATTACTAAACACTACAGGAAGGTAATAGTAGCATTGTATTATCTTTTTAAAATATAAAAGAAGTTATGAATATATTTGTAGGAACAGAATTCACTTTGCTCTAGATAGACATTTTCTATGTGTTTACCTATTTGTTTAGTCTTAAAACTCTTGTATCTGATTTCCTTCTTTTTTTTCTTTTGTGAGTCTCATATCCGGGTTGGGCTTAAACGTCATGTTGCTGAGGACAATCTTGCACCACTGAACCTCTTACATCTACCTCCTAGGAAATAAATTACAGGCATGTGTGTGCCATTATGCCCAGTTTATGTAGTATGGGGGATCAAGGACACCTCATGTGTGCTAGGAAACACTGTGCTGGTAAGCTGTACCCCCAGATCCAACCTGGGTTTCTGATTCTCTTCTGATTGAGTGCTTGGATTGCAGAAAAGTGTCAGGTTTACAGGCATGTATACACGCCTGGCTTTCGCCTTGAACCCAGTACTTGGTGCATGCTAGACAAGTGTCCTACTAACTGAGCTATATTACTTGTCCTGCGGTCAGATTTTCTAAAAGAAAGCAAGAACAGAACAAATGAAATGAATTGTTGCCTGGAATAGCGGCATACATCTGTGAATCCAGTATGCAGGAGGTAAAGATGGGAGGATCACAAATTCAAGGTTATCTTTGGCTGTATAGTGAGGCCAGCTTGGGGTACATTATAGCTGAATTTTGGCTTATGAAACTCATTTGCTTTTATTTTTACTCTTTATACATCAGAAATCTTTTATGCTATCATGGGTTTATCCATACTGACTTGCTTTATCACATGAAAAACTAATTTTCTTTAAAAATTACTTATTTATTATGTATACCTTATGTATGTATGCCTGTGTGCCAGAAGAGGGCAACAGATCTCATTATAGATGGTTGTGAGCTACCACGTGGTTGCTGGGAATTGAACTCAGGACCTCTGGAAGAGAGCATCCAGTGCTCTTAACCTCTGAGCCATCTCTCTAGCCCCTGGAAAAACTCATTTTTAAAATTTAATTTTACATATACGTAGGCACAGCACTCATAGAGTAAATCTAAAGAAAATCAAATTCTTCTCCCTTAATAACTCATACCATCCTTTTGTCTATCTTGGGTTTTTTTTTCTTTTTTTTTTTTTTTTCCTTATGCTTTCCCTTCCTGCCTCTCTCCTGTCTAGATCCTAGGCCCTGTCTAATGTGCTTTGTATGTGAAGTCTTCCAATATGGTGTCCTCCCAACTGCCTTCAGTTTCATGTCTGGGATCCCTTAGTGTGAACTCTCAGGATTTATGCTAAAGAATGAGGCATAATCTGATTCGCTGGGAGAACATGTCTGAATCCTAGCTCTTAGAAGGTTGAGTCGAGAGGATTACTGAGTTTGGTCAGCTGACCTCCACAGTGAGACCCCTTCTCAAAATATCCCCCAAATGGCATAATCTGATGGTGTTTGTGTCCCTTGCTATGTTTGCCACAGTAGCTCGGGTGATGCTCAGGAAATGATCATACAATTCATTGCACAGACGATGAGATTCAGATCCAGAGCCACCAGCTAGTTAGTGGCTACATTTGGATTTGAAGCAATTGCTGCAATTCCTCAATGTCCTATAGAATAAATGCTAAGAATAGAAAAGGTCTATTATTAGACAGAACCAGAATTCTCATTCTCTCTCTCTCTATCTCTCTCTCTCTCCCCCCCCCTCTCTTTCTGTTTATTTTTGGTTTTTCGAGGCTATGTTTCTCTGTGTGGCTTTGGCTGTTCTGGAACTTGCTCTGTAGATCAGGTTGGTCTTGAACTCACAGAGATCTACCTGCCTCTGCCTCCCAAGGCTGGGATTAAAGGCATGGGCCACCACTGCCAGGCCAGTACCAGACTTGAATGTTGTTTTGTTCCTCTAAAAACAAATTTATCTTTAGCTTGTGGCCATAGGAATGAGGAATCATCCACAAGATCTACCAGTGCAGTTCACAGCCAGTGCTTGTGTGCTCAACCTAACACGCCAGAACCTGGCCAAGGGAATGCCTGTTCGTCTGTTGTCAGAGGTCACCTATCTACTCTTCAAAGCAATGAAAAATTTCCCCTACTACCAACAGGTAATTTGAATTATTAAATTATTAACTGATATTTAACCTTAGAGCATATATAAGGAAAGTATGTATGTATTACTGAGTTACAGTTTTTTATTCTTTTATAGATAAAATAGGTCTTAATATTATAGAAAAAAAGTAGGAAATATGGATAAGCAATGAAGCCAAAACCATTTACTCCGAAAGTTGGACATGATGGCACACACCTTTAATTCCAGTACTCAGGCAGAAGCAGGCAAATCTCTGAGTTTTAGGTCTGCCTGGCCTATGATAGAGTTCCAGGACAGCCATGGCAACTCAGAGAAACCCTGTCTCAAAAACTAAAAACATAAAAATAAAAAACATTTACTAAGAAACACCCACTAACATTGTGAAGCCAGGTGTGATGGTGCTCACCTGTTACCCTAGTACTTGGGGCAGGGGACAGAGGCAGTGGAATTAAAAGTTAAGTTCATTCTTTGCTGCTACATACAGGTTCAAGACCAGACAGGGCTACATGCAATCTCAAACAGAAATCCCAGGGAAGAAAAAAAAGTTGAGTTGAGGCCAACAAGATAAAAGAGAAAAGCACTTAGCAGCTGAAAGATCTGAGTTTGAAAGAAAAAAAAAAACTTAAAAAATTAAAAAGCTGGATAGTGGTGGTACACACCTTTAATCCCAGCACTCAGGAGGCAGAGGCAGGAGAATCTCTTTGAGTTCGAGACCAGCCTGGTCTACAAGAGCTAGTTCCAGGACAGCCTCCAAAGCCACAAAGAATCCCTGTCTTGGAATACCAAAAAGAAAAAGAAAAAAAAAAAAAAAAAAAAACCCTTAAAAAAAAAAGATCTGAGTTTGATCCTTGAGGTTCATAAGATGGAAGGAAAAAAGCCACCTCATGTAAATTACTCTCAGTTCGTATATGCTTTCACAGAGATTTTTACCTTACTAGTCAAAAATACTTTAGGTTACTGAAAGGAAAGGCTTTTCTTCAAGACTGGGGGCATAGCTCAATGAAAGAGGACTTGCTAGTGTATGTAAGGCCAATGCCCTGGTTTCTAGGTCCAGCACCAGAAAAATAAAATCATCAAAATTAAAAATTCTTGGGCTAGGAATACAGCTCAGTGGTAGAGAACTTACTAGCATGCATGAGTTTGTTGGTTTAGTCCCTAGCACCTCAAAATAAATAAACGAATAAATAAAAGGTGAGGGACCTGGGAGTAAAGGCTCTTGCTCTGCAGGCATGAGTTTAAGTCCCTAAACCTGCCTGGTGGTGATGCTGCATGCACATCTCTAATCCCAGCACTCAGAGGCAGAGGCAGAGAGTCTCTGTGAGTTCCTGGTCATCCAGGAATACACAATAAAACTCTCAAAGACATTTAAAAGGGCTGGAGAGATGGCTCAGAGGTTAAGAACACTGCTGCTCTTCCAGAGGTCCTGAATTCAATTCCCAGCAACCGCATGGTGGCTCACAACCATCTGTAATGAGATCTGGTGCCCTCTGGTGTGCAAGCATACACGCAGGCAGAATACTGTATACACAATAAATGCATCTTTTTAAATTTTTTATTAATTTATTTTTACATTCTGATCCCAGTTCCCACTCCCTCTACTCTCCCCTCCTCCCATCTGCTCATGGAGAGGGTAAGGACTCCCATAGGAAGTCCACTAAGTCTGTCCTATCATCTGGTTAAAGTACAGGACCAAGGCACCTCTCCATCCCCACACCCCTGTGTCTTGGCTGGGCATGGTATCTCTCCAAATAGGATGGGCTTCACTAAGTCAGTTTGTTCATTAGTATTAGGTCTTGGACCCACTGCCAGTGGCCTCATATATTGTCCCAGTCACACTATTGTTACCTATATTAAGGGAGTCTAGTTTGGTCTTATGCAGATTACCCATTTATCAGACCTGAGTCAATGATCTCTCACTAGCTTAGGTCAGCTGATTCTGTGGGTGTTCATATTTTTGATCCTCCCTCACTCACTTTGATTGTACTCCAGGAGCTTGGCCCAATGGTTAGTTGTGGATTTCTGCATCTGCTTCCATCTGTTTCTGGGTTATGGATTGTGGACTGGGTATTTTTTGCTTTATGTCTGGTATCCACTTATGAGTGTGTACATACTATATTTGTCTTTCTGGTTTTCATTATGGGATTGTTTTTTTTTTTTTGTTTCTAGTTCTGCCCATTTGCCTTTGAATTTTAGGATGTGGTTGTTTCTTACCACTGAGTAGTACTCCATTGTATAAATATACCACATTTTCTTTATCCATTCTTCAGTAAATGAAGAAATCTCTAAAAAAAAAAATTTAGTGGAGAACAATAAGGGAAGACACTCAAGTCAACACACATAGATCAGCAGTAAATTTAAACATGAATATTATAGTGTCTTAATTTGAAATCACCAAAAGGTGGACTGACCCAAGTGTCTCAAGACGAATAGATACTCAGATGTGATGTGTTTGTTTAAGGGAGTCTTGTCTGACAAGAAAGGAGTGACACATTGATTGGTTTGTGAAACATGGGTAACCCTAAAAAACATGATTCAAGCAAGACCTGCTGTAAGAGTGGGTGACATAATTCCATTTAAATCTTTGTTGCAGTGGTAGTTACAGCACAAATTTGTCAAATCTAATAGAAATGTATGATAGTTCTCAGGATAAAGGCACCTCCACCCGTCCTGGTTCGATCTCCAGGACCTACCTGATAGATGAAGAGAGCTGGTTACTCTAAGTTGTCCTCTCACCTCTACATGTGTGCTGTGACATGCACACCCCCCCACATACAGAGGCACACGCAAAATGAATGTTAACTCTTAAAAAAAGAAGGAGTTGGGGCTAGAGAGATGGCTCAGTGGTCTAGAGCGCTGGCTGTTCTTCCAGAGCACCCAGGTTAAATTCCCAGCACCCACATGGCATCACATTTGTCTGTAACTCCAGTTCCAAGAGATTTGACACTCCTACACAGACATACATGTAAGCATAACACTGGTGCGTATGGAATAAAAATAAATAAATAATATATTTTAAAATGTGAGTTGGTCTTCAAGAGTACAATTCAGTCTTTATTCCAGTTGTAGGAGCAAATTAAAATCATAGAGAGAGGCCAGGTGGCGGTGGTGCACTCCTTTAAACCCAGGGAGGCAGAGGCAGGTGGATCTCTGAGTTCCAGGACAGCCAGGGCTACACAGAGAAACCATGGCAAGGACTAACTACATAAGTAGCCATTGGTCACACCAACCACATGTCTTGACTTCTCTCAGAATGGAGCATCACATTTGCTCATGAGTGTTTACCATTTCTTTCCTAAAAGTTACAGAAGAATTGCCTTCTCTCCTTAACCACCTCCAGGATTCTTGCTGACGTTCCCTTTGACAGGCAAGTACAGATAAAGCATCTGAGGTTATTCTAGCAGCACATGGTTACTCACATTCTGGAATATACTTTTCCTGGGCTCTCTCTGAAATGTTCTCATTTCTATTGCTGAGGCTTTGGAAGTTGACATTTTTACTTTTATGTTTAAAATTTTCCTTAGCATATATTATACCCGATACTGGATTTTGGTATTTCTATACACATATATAATGTATTGATCTTAGTCATCCCCAAATACTCTCTTGTTCCCTTTTGCTCTGAGCCTCTTCCTCTTGCCAACTAGCCACCCTTTCTACTTTTCATATCTTTATTTGTGTGAACCAGTTGGTTAGCTTAATTAGGGCTACTTATAGGGAAATGGGTGAGGGTTTATACAGGGAGGGGCATGGACAACTTACCACAGGCTACACCACTGAAGAAAATAACTGCTTTTCAGGTTTGATGCTGCCAAGCTTGTGATGAGGTGGCTGTGCAGGCGTGAGAACCCCAAGATGCAAACAATGGCCGTGAGCATCACCTCCATCTTAGCCCTGAAGGTAGGGGTGTGCCAGGGTCACCTTTTCCCCCTGCCTAGGCTTGGGAGAACTTGGGCCTTTCACTTGGGTCTTCTGTTTGCTTTCAGCTCTTACCTGAGGAGACTGAACAGCTTCAGGAAGAGCTCATCATGACAGTCAAGGTGAGCCGGTGAGCTGAGGTAATCACCGCGCCTACCCCACCATGCTGGGGATTGAACCCAGGACCTTGTGTGTGCTAGGCAAATGCTCTACTGCTGAACTATATCCTTGGTCCTTAATAATACCTTACCAAAAAAAAGCAACAAATTTATGAATGAAGCTTTTATTATTTATTTTTTTTTTAATGCTTTGGTTTTTTTTTTTTTTTTTTTTGAGACAGGGTTTCTCTGTGTAACAGCCCTGGCTATCCTGGAATTTACTCTGGTAGACCAGGCTGGCCTTGAACTCAGAAATCCGTCTGCCTCTGCCTCCCAAGTGCTGGGATTAAAAATATGCACCACCACCGACCAGCTGAATGCAGCTTTTAAAATAATTTTTTTTTCCTGTACTTATTTGAGAAGAGGTTGTGTGAAAGGCAGCTGAGTGGTTTGAGTGAGAAAGACAAAATTGAGGGTTGGATTTGGCTGGATATGAGGCAAATGAATGGCACTTTCTTGAATAACAAAAAAGTAGTAGCTGGGTGGTGTTGGCACATGCCTTGTATCTCAGCACTGGGGAGGCAGAGGCAGGCAGATCTGCTCTTACTCACTGAGGTAGCCAGGGCTAACAGCAAGGCTCTGTCTCAAAACAAAAACAAGATTTATTTTATGTATGTGTGGCCCAGGTGTTTATAGCCAGGCTAGGGGAGGACTGTAAGGCTTTATGCATGCTACAAGTACTCTGTCAACCCAGTTAGATCCCCAGCTCTCACTTTTAGGGCTCCTCTTTCCTTTTTTTCACACAGGAGCGAATTGGTCAGGGGGTGGTGGTTTTACTCTCTGTGTCTTTGGTTTGTAGGAACTTCTAACAATAGTGAGACAAAAGACGACTGAGAAGTTAGATGATGTCACCTTCTTGTTTACTCTGAAAGCACTTTGGAATCTTACAGATGAATCTCCATCAGCCTGCAAGTACTTTATTGAGAACGAAGGACTGGCAGTCATCACCAAAGTCTTAGAGGTTGGAAGATGGGATTGAGTTTAAATATAAAGTTCTTCTCTTCGTGTTATAGTAACCTGTGTGTTCTTTTACAGACATTTCCCGTGTCTATGATACAGAGCAAAGTGCTTGGTCTCCTGGTAAGGTGAATTGTTTGAATTAATTTAATTAAAATCAATACTTACATAGTACCTACTTTGTATTGGGCACTGCTGTAGTCTGTTTAGATGCATAGATTCATTTAATCGTATTCTCAGCAAGCAGATAATCCTTGTACAGTAATTATCTGTTGCTGTGAACAACCCACAGTTTAGTGGCTTAAAATAACTGTCTTGGGTTGGAGAGATGGCTCTGTGATTAAGAGCACTGGTTGCTCTTCTAGAGGTCCTACGTTTGATTCCCAGCACCCACAAAGCAGCTCACAGCCATCTGTAACTTCAGATGTGGTGGTGCATGAGTGTAATCCCAGCACTGGGGGTACAGAGACAGGAGGATCCCTGGGGCTCACAGCAAGTCTAGCCAAACCTTTGTGCTCCAGATTCAGTGAGAGATCTTGTCTGAAAAAGTAAGGAAAAGAGTGATTGAGGAAGACAACAGATGTTGATCCTTGGCTTCCATACATGTGCACTGCACAGACAACACACATAAATATACATGTATGCTTCTTCCCTTAAGAATTAGTTGGCCCATAGTTTGAACTTAGCTCATGTCTACAGTTGTACTGGTCTTGAGGGAGAGATTCCTGGGGCTGCAGGTTGAATGAGGTAGGATGATCTGATTCTGGCACCAGAATTGGCACTAGTGGTCTGCTGAGTCTTGTGTCTCACTGAAATCTCAAAATGGCAGCAGAGGGTAAGTCCCCTTCTGCTAGAGTTTTCATAGCTCTGCCCATATCCTGTTTGCTAATGTCAGCCAAAGCGGTTGATATGGTCAAGTTGAGATTAATAGCAGTGAGCATCCTTTTATGAGAGGACTAGCACAGTCCTGATATCAGGAAAAAATAACTTCAAGGATAAGGAAGATTATACGTTGTAACTGTACTCTATTCACAGTGTACAGGCAGGACCCATTTGTCTCTCCTGGTTGGTAAGAGGTGGCTTGATCTGGGTGATGGTGACACATGCCTTTAATCCCAGCACTCTGGGAGGCAGAGGCAGGCAGATCTCTGTGAGTTTGAGACCAGCTTGGTCTACAAGAGATAGTTCCAGGACAGCCTCCAAAGCCACAGAGAAACCCTGTCTCGAACCCCCCCACCCCCCCCCCCAAAAAAAAGGATGAAAAGGCAAACTCAGGCAGCCAGGCTTCAGACCCTACAATAGGAACCACTTACCTGTAGTTCCAGATTGTCAAGGCAGTTAATTCTTCAGAAGCTTCTAAATCAGGTCAATTCTGCCCATTTTAGAAATTTGTTTCCAGAAGAGTTGGAATTTGGAGAAAAGGTGAAAAAGAGGAAAATAGTAGAAAATAATCTCAGAAAGTTGAACGGAAGGAAGCTTTGTATTTCTTAGATGAGAAACATCCTGTTTGCTGATTGAAGGCATGAAGGCATGCTTTTAGTACTTCTGGGAGCCTGGCTGACTGCTAAAAGACTCACAAGGACAAAAAAAAAAAAAAAAAAAAATTTTTTTTTTTTTTTTTGATTTTCCAGACAAGGTTTCTTTGTATGGCTTTGGAGTCTGTCCTAGAACTCTCTCTGTAGACCAGGCTGGCCTCAAAGAGATCCACCTGCCTCTGCCTTTCAAGTGCTGGGATTAAATGCACGAGTCACCAACGGCCATTCAAAAGGACTTTTGATACTTAGAGTTATACTAATGGTAACATACCTCTTTGTTGGGGACTAATGTCAGATAAGCTTCATACTGAAATCATGCTATTCACAAAGGGTTTAGCTGGTTGAAGGACTAACTAGTCAGAATCTCAAAATCAGGACAATGGCTACCTGAGTACACCAGTGGAGAAGAGGGCCATCCATATTTCAAGGAACTTTTTCCTTTAAGTGTTAGACAAGAAACTGAAATCTTAGTTCTGCAGCCACAGGGAATGAATTCTGAGTGAGGAGGGAAGTAGATTTATTTGCTCACTGGAGCCTCTGGTTGAAGTTGACTGTATGAAACCTCATTGTAGAGACCGGCTAAGTCATGCCCTCTCTCTTGCCCCAAAGGAGCTGTGAGATAAAAATGCATGTTATTTTAAGCCAGTAAGTTTGTGGTAATTTATTACACAGCATAGAAAATGAATGCAATGGATTGAAAAACAACAGCAGGGCAGCTTTCATTTTTAATTTCAAGATACCATAAGCATTTGTGTTAGACTTAAATGCAAACTCCTAGTTGAGAGAGTTACTGTCAGTGTAAACTTGACAAGTGAGTCTTGCTGAATGTCAAGTTTATTTGCAGAATTAAACATTAACTGAGAGATAATACAGATAAAAGCTATTTTTCTGTATCTTATACTGTGCCCAGCACTTAGTAGGCGCTTTACTCAGTTCTTTTCTATTAAAGATCATGTTCTTCATGCAGGGGTGGGATTTGGGTCATAGGCCAAGTACAGAGATAGGGCTGGAGTAAGTTCTGGGACCGTGTCTAAAGGAAGCTGTAGGGAAGGTGCTGCTGGTTCCTGGTTCTTTCTCCCTCCCTGCCCTGATATGTTCCTCTACCCTGTAGAACAACGTAGCTGAAGTCAGAGAGCTCTCTCCCAAGCTGGTGACAAAAGATCTGTTGAGACATACCATCAGTCTGCTTCACAGCAGCAACATAGAAGTGAGCTACTTCGCTGCTGGTGTGATAGCCCATCTGACATGTGACAGACAGCACTGGCTATCCCGTGACCTGCAGAGGAGAGATCTTCTCCAAGACTTGGTACAGGAATCATTCTTTACAACATCCAGAGTAATTTCTTCCTCAGATAACTTATTTTCTTTAAATGAGTTTTAGAAAGATTCTACATCTGTTGAACTTTGCTACTCATCTCATTAAATATTATTAATGATAGTTTCTTAGTTTTATTTGTTTGTTTGTTTTTTGGTCTGTTTGAATTTTGTTGTTTATTTTTGAAATGAGTCTTTTGTAGCTCAGACTCTGCTTGGATTCACGGTGATTCTTCTGCCTCAGATTCGCTGGGCTTTTGGATTGCTGGTGTGGGCTACTGCACCTAGCTCTGACAATAGTTTGAGTTTTGTATTTGTTTTTAATGGCGTATGTGTATGAACACTGCCTGTACACAAGTGCTTAGGACAGCCAGAAGAGGGCATTGGATCCCTGTGTGCTGGAGTTGTGGACAAATGTGAGCTACCCCAAGTGGTGCTGGGAACCAATCTTGGGGCTCCTACAATAGCAGCAAGTGCTCTTTTAACTACTGAGTCATTTCTCTAACCTCAAAAGTTTTGTATTTTAAAGTTTTCTTTGGAGCCAGTGAGATGTGTAATGAGTGGAATTTATCTACTTGGGTTCAGGTTGGAGAGATATGAATTAGGTGGAGCTTACCCAGAGAAGGATCTGCTGTCTCAATGGTACTAGGCACTGACTGAATGCAAGGCTAGGTAATCACTCTGCTACTGAGCTCTTACACCCCAGCCTTCCAGTGCAGTTTTTTTCCACACGAAGTTTTGCATAAATTTTATTCAGAGCAGTTATCTAGTTGATTTAGGGTTTTTTTTGTTTTGGTTTGGTTTTTGGTTTTTCGAGACAGAATTTCTCTGTGGTTTTTTTGGAAGTTGACCTGGAACTAGCTCTTGTAGACCAGGCTAACCTCAAACTCATGGAGATCCACCTGCCTCTGCCTCCCGAGCACTGGGACTAAAGGCATGTGCCATCACTACCTAGCCTAGTTTTTTAAATAAGCCTCATATGTATAAGTAAATATGAAATAACCTATAGAACTTAACAATAACACATAATACTCTGGGTTTCTCCCTTTCTCTTTTGGGGTGCAGCATGTAACCATCCAGAATTGGCCAAGTTCACGGTGTAATATGTCAGCATTGGTGACCTACAGGTAATTTCATACTATTACAGCATCCAATCTTTCCTTTCGTGTACTCTGAAATGATGAAGAAATAAGGGATTATGTCAAGTAGCCTCATGTTCAGATTCCATGGTTCTTGGTAAATTCTAAGAAAATCTTTAAGACTTAAGCCTTATGAAAAGAGACATGAATTGCTGTTACTTAAATGAACCCCCCTGTAGCTGGATGTTTCTCCTGCCTGCAAGTTCCTAAATACTCTGAGGATTATATTAATTATAACTATTTGGCCTATGGCCCGGGCTTTTACTAACTAGCTCTTACAACTTAAAGTAACCCATTTCTATTAATCTTTGTAGCCACAAGGCCAGGGGCTTATTATTTCACACCTTGCTTCTGTGGTCACTGCTGGTGTCTCCTAGACTACACCTTCTTTTCCCCTGTATCTTTGCTTGGATTTCCCACCTGGCTCTAAACTGCTTGGCTATTGGCCAAATCAGCTTCTTTAGTAACCAATGGTAATAAAACATGTCCACATCATACAGAAGGGCATCCCCCATCCCCTTTTCTGTCTAATTAAAAAGGAAGGTTTTAGTTTTAACATTGCAAAATTACATATAACAAAACAAGTATTAAACAAAAATTATAATACTTAGCCTAATTGTATTTGACAAAATTAAAGAAAATACTCTATCATATCCTATCGTTGTGAGTCTATAGTTTTCTATATCTAATTATCTTTTATCATAACTAAGGGAAACTAGTCAAGATACCTTTAAATATATATATATATATATATATTTAAGTTAGTAGCTTCCACAATTAAATGTCTCTCAGCAGTTAGCTTATTAATAGTCAAAATAAAGCTCAAAGGAGATACAATAGCATACCTAATCTAGACTCTGTGTATTTTGCATCTTTATGTGTGTTTTTGAAAATATTACTTTTGCTGTCTCTTTAAAGACTTTTTTTTTTTCTTTGAGACAGGGTTTCTCTGTGTTAACAGCCCTGGCTGTCCTGGAACTTCACACCTTGCTTCTGTGGTAGCTGCTGGCATCTCCTAGACTACACCTTTTCCCCTGTATCTTTGCTTGGATTTCCCACCTGGCTCTATTCTGCTTGGCTATTGGCCAAATCAGCTTCATTAGTAACCAATGGTAATAAAACATCTCTAGACTAGGCTGGCCTTGAACTCACAGAGATCCGCCTGCCTCCTGAGTGCTGGGATTAAAGGCATGTACCACTACACCCTGTAACCCTTTTTTGATCACTATTTTAAACTGTTAAGGGCCAGAGCTGCTGCTTTGGCTGTTGGTTCCACCTTTTTCAACTTTTCAGCATGGCAGAGGTAAGTTCACTGCCAGCTCTGGGAGCCTCGTTTACTGCCCCAATTTTTGGAAGCAGAGGGTCCACACTGTCACCAAGTAACTTATAACACACTGTCCACTAGCCCCACTTAAATACTCTATAGTAAGACCTCCCAAAAGAGCCAGCCAGGAAAGCCATCTCTTAAAGGAGCCACGCATCTGCTCACCTCCAGCAAACAGAGTCTGTCTGAATAAATGTGGCTATTAAGAAGCCAGTTTTGGCTCTGTTGTCGTCTAGAATCTTTAAAGCTTCTTTTTGTGGATGTATTTGCCCCACACTGGGTGCCATTTGTAGCCAAACATTTCTCTCCCACCCACCAGTTCCCAAATAACCACTCTGAGGATTAATATTAATTACAAACCGTTTGGCTTATTAGCTACCTCTTACAACTTAAATTAACCCTTTTCTATTATTCTGTATTTTACCACGAGGCTCATGGCTTGTTCCCTCATATCTTGCTTCTCCAGCGGCTACTGGCATCTCTTAAACTTTGCCTTCTTTTTGCCTGGTCTTTGCTTTGATTTTCCCACCTGGCTCTATTCTGTCTGGATATTGGTTAAATCAGCTTCTTTATTAAGCAATGATAATAAAAAAACATATTCACAGAATACAAAGGGGCATTTCACCTGCCCCCCCCCCAATAAAGACTGCATAATACATTTGTCTCTGTGTAGAACAGACTCTGTAGGGGAAATATTGAAAACACTTATAATTGATGTGTTGTTTTTGTTTGTTTTGCTCCTTTTTTTTTTTTAGATCTTTCAAATCATTTTTCCCACTCCTTGGCAACTTCTCTCAGCCAGAAGTTCAGCTCTGGGCACTATGGGCCATGCATCATGTCTGCAGTAAAAACCGTATGTATTCAATGCACATTCAGAGCAAGCAATTTCCAGCTAATATCCTGAGTAATGGATGAGTTTAGAATTGATTTCTTTTGGTGAGGCTGTTTTAAGACAGTGTTTTTCTGCAGTTTTGGAGCCTATCCTGGAACTCAATCTGTAGACCAGGCTGGCCTTGAACTCAAATCTGTCTGCGTCTGCCTCCTGAATGCTGGGATTAAAGGTGTGTGTCACAAATGCCTGGCTAGAATTGATTTTAATAAAATGTTCTTGCCCCTTCCCAAACAAACAAACAAAAACTAAAGCTGGACAGTGGTAGTGGATTTAATCCCAGTACTTGGAGGCAGAAACAGGTAGATCTCTGTGTCATGTGTCATAGGCCAGCTTGGTGTCCAGAGTGAGTTCCAGCAAAGCCAGGGCTACACAGAGAAACAACAACAAAAAGAAGCCGTTTTCTTGGGTCAAGGGACATGACTCAGTTGATGAAAGAGAAAGCACTTGTTGCACAGGCCTGATAACCTGAGTTGGTTCTTTATATTAGTCATTGTTCTATTATTTTGAGGAGAAAACATGACCATAGCAACTCTTATAAAAGAAAGCATTTAATTGGGGACTTGCTTGCAATTTTAGGGGGTTAGTCCATATCATCATGGCAGAAGGCAGATAGGCATGGTGATGGAGCAGTAGCTGAAAGCTTAACATCCTGATCCATAGGAGCAGGCAGAGGGAAGCTGGACCTGTCTTGGGCTTTTGAAACCTTAAAGCCCAACCCCAGTGACACACCCACTCCAACAAGATCACATCTCCTAATCCTTCCACAACTGTTCTGCTAACTGGGAACCAGGCATTTAAATATAAGAGACTATGACGGCCATTCTTATTAGAACTCCGCATGTATGCCATGGAATGTTTGACTGCATGTGCACATACACACACAGATATACACTCACAAGAATACTAAAGGGGCTAGAGCAGCAGTTCTCAGCCTGTGAGTAGTGACCCCTTTGGGGGTTGATTGACCCTTTCACAGGGGCTGTATATCAGATATTTACCTTACAATTTATAACAGCAAAATTACAGTTATGAAGTAGCAATGAAATAATTTTATGGTTGGGGGTCACCACAACATGAGGGAACTGTATTAAAGGGCTGTAACATTAGGAAGGTGTAGAACCACTGGTCTAGAGAGATGCCTCAGTGGTTATGAACGCTCAGTTCTCTTACTGGCACTCAGATCTTGGGGTGACATACCATCTAACTCTTATGTACAGGGGATCTGTTCCCCTCTTCTGGGCTGCACAGGTACTTACTTACATGCACACTTTGTTAAGATTTTTTTTTAACATCTGTTCCTGCTCTCACAGATCAGGTGCTGGATCTCTATGAGTTGGAGACCAGCCTGGTCTACAAGAGCTAGTTCCAGGATAGCCTCCAAAAAAAAAAAAAAAAAAAAAAAAAAAAAGCCACAGAGAAACCCTGTCTTGAAAAATCAAAACAAAACAAAAAAACCCAAAAGTTGTGTTACCCTGCCTGGGTATGTTTTTATTTTATGTGTATGTGTGTTTTGTCTCCATGTGTGACTGCATGACATGTGTATGCAGTGCCTATGGAGGCTGGAAGAAGGTATCAGATTCGGAACTAGAATTGCAGACAAGCCCTCTGGAAAAGCAGTTAGTGCTCTTAGCTGCTGAGCTACATCTCCAGCCCCGAGAGCTTCTTTACCTTCTTATTCTAGCTCCAAGATCCTTCTTTTGCTTTATCCATTCCGTCAGACATTTAGAATCTTTCTGGCATCTGTGTACCTGAGTGAATGTATGTGCATATACGCTGCATGCAGGAACTGATGGAGGCCAGAAAAGAGGGTGTTGGAATCCCTGAAACTAGAATCACAGGTGGTTGTGAGCTATCATGTGGCTGCTAGGAACTGCATAAACCGATGGCATGACCACTCCATAGCATGTTTAAGGGGAAGGACTTTTTATTTAGATATGAGAAAGGTAAGTTAGGCATCTGGAATGAGTCCATAGCAGAGGAAGGGGAGAATAGCAGGGGATAGAGAATAGAGAAAACAGAAGCAGAGATAGATAGATAGACAGACAGACAGACAGACAGACAGAGAGAAACAAGGTTTTAAGGAGAATGGTTATCTGGGGGAAGGGAAGCTCATGAGGTGGAGGGGATTTATGGTAGGGGAGGAGGTGAGAAGGGCAGGATTTTGAACTAAGTTAATTTTGGTACTGAGAGAACCTTGGATGCTAGCATGAGCTCTGATATACTAATAGGCACCACAGGTAGCCATATTCCCCTTTTGTTCCTTTTAGTAGATGGGAACCAGTGTCACAAGTTCCTGAGAAATGCTGGCTTTTATCTAAGCACCATAAATCCTCCAGTAGTCCAGGTTGAGCTCATTGGACTGCTATTTAGAGTTTGGGGAGTTGGAGTTTTCTTTGGACCTACAAGGAGCCAGAAAATGAAGGAAGCACTGTTAAAGCTGCTAAGCCATTTCTCCAGCTCTGGTATGCTCCTTTTTTCTAATAGACAGACCTAAAGGGGTTTGAAGCAGAATTGTCAATACACTACAGTGACCATCTGTGGTTTCACCATGTCCGATTACTCAGGAATTGACTCATTTTTAACCTGTTAATTCCTGGGCCACGAAGACTTTCATCTTTTCACTGTGTCTCTCATGTGAATGTGGTGAATTGGGAACATTTAAAATGTCAGTTGTTCACTGTGTCTTTGTTTTCCTTTAGCTAGCAAATACTGCCAACTGTTGGTAGAAGAAGGAGGACTGCAGCTCGTGTGCGATGTCCAGCACAGTCAGGCCAATGCCCAGGTGAGGCAGATGGCGGCCTCCATCCTGGAGGACTTCAGGATGCACTTCACAAGCTACCAGAGACCCACACAGCCCCAGCAACCTTTTTAATCTAGAGGCCCTTGAGGGTGCTGCTTAAGGACAGGACTTCTGCCTTTGGGTAATGGAATTTTGAAACTAGTTGTTGATGTTTTTTCTTTTCTTTCTGTTACAAGAAGGCTGGGTCCTGTTCCCACTTATGAAAAGGTGTTAGGAAGGTGAATACTGCTGTAGGGAGGAACAGTCTTTACTGCTGTTGTTCTTGATGATTTGTTTGTTTATACCAAAATACTTTTGAGTGGGGGGGGGGGGGAGACAGCCAACAAAACTGGGTTTTACTGTGTAGCTTAGATTAGCCTTGAGCTCAGCATTCCTGTTCCTTCAGTACTGGGGTTGTGAGCCTGAAAGCTTTGATTTTTTTCTTTCCCCCTTTTCCTCCAGTTTGAGGAGTCAGACCATTGAACATGTGTGACTGTGGGATTAAAGCTTGGTCTTGACTTAAGATCTTATTATGCATGCATGTGAGTGAATGCTTACAAAGGCCAGAAGAAGGGTATTGGATTTGGAGCTGCAGTTACAGGTAGTTGTCATCTGGGTCCTCTGCAAGAGCAGTAAGCGCTCTTAACTGATGAGCCATCTTTCTGGCCTCTTGGACTCTGAACTGGAGTAGTCAGAAGCACTCTTTGAGCATCAATTGAGGAAGGTATTCTTAGCAATTCTAAGCCACATTCTAAACTGTAACCTCAAGCCAGCCTTGGCTATGTATCATATCACGTTGTTCTATTCTCCACTGTCTCAGGTAAGCAGAACTTAGGACAACCATGTCTGTAAACCACACTCTCTACTCACACACTGCTGTGTGATTCCAAAGAAGGTTTTTAGTTTCTGAACCTGAGTTCTAATATCTAGAACATTGTGTTCCAAATCAGCAGTATGGCTGGTGCTTGTGCTGAGGATGCTCAGCCAGAGCTTAGCTCTTCGCAGCCTTGGTAGAAGAGGAGGCGGGCATTTAGGTATGAAGGGGCCTGTGAGGAGCTGGCCCTGTATCCCCTTTATTTTCCAAATATGGAACCTTCTAGCTTACCTCTGCTCATACCAATTCAAATGCCACTTGTCCTCCAGGTACCACGTCTACTGTTGCCCCCCCCCCCCCATCCCTTCTTTCTGGGCTGCTAACCCTTTGTCCATGGTCCTGGATGAGTACCGAAGGCCTTCCTGCCGCTCTGTTGTCTGCAGAAGGCCCCCACAATTTCAGCACAAGCCGAAGGTTGTAGCATGTTTATTGAACACAAGGATTTTAAGTAACCACAATTGATTGTTTCCAGATTCAGAAAAAAACAAAACAAAACAAAAAACCTGTAGAGGTTAAATGGTTTGTCCAGAATAAACCTGGCTGGGTTTATTCTGTGAGGGGAAGAAGTGAGGGCTTCCTCCTCATTGCTCTCTGTGATGACCAGAGCCAATGAAACAGACCCAATTTGAGTGAAGGAAACTAGGAAGGCCTGGATCCTAGTGACTAGCCAAGGTGAGCAATGTGGAGGGCAGCAGTGTGTGGCATGGTCAGCACCTTGGTTCTAGGCACCATGCCAATCACTGTCTGTCTGTCATTGTTCTTGAAGAAACTAAAGGCCAGAGGTGAACTTAAGAGGGCTAGCCTGCCAACTTTTCCTGTGGATCCTATTCTTTATGGTGTGCGGTTAGAATTAACTGGGTCACTTGCCAACAAATTTTGGGGGTCGTTTCTCCCTGAAGGCTGCCATCCCTTCTAGTCGGTCCTGGGTTGGGATGTTCTGCAAAGATACAATAGATATTAGTTTGGGAAGAATAGGACCAGAGGACAAAAACGCCATTGCATAAGTGGATCTTATGCTGGAGAGTTGCTTTCTACCTCTCTTCTCAAAAGTTATCAAGAGTATTCTCTCAGGTGTATAGCCTCTCTACACCTTAGAATAGTAACTCCAACTTAGCCCCCAGTAGAGGTAACTGGTACTGGGCAGCAAAAGTGATTTTTGTGTGTGTGTGTGTGTGTGTGTGTGTGTGTGTGTAGCATCTTTGTGTTCTGTGGTTACCAAATGATTTTAAAGAAAGAGTCTGGACGTAAAGATCTGTGATTTCCTTGGAGCCACTTAGGTTAGTTAGGAGGCACTGGCAGTTAGACCGCATGAGGATCACCATATTTGTTTAGCCCCAACAAGCATGCACAAACCATTAGTACTTATATACCTGGGCATAGCACATGCGTTCAATGGCCATCCCTGATGCAATGTCCACCTGCAAAAAAGTACCTTCTGAGTCCATATGACTTTGTCCAACCAACCCCATCCACAGAGAAGAGCCAGCCCACCCCACCCCACTGTCTATGAGTAGAAATAACTGCTGCTCTGTAACTGATGCCTGGACTTCACAGCAGTGGAAAAGGGTCCTGAGAGATATGGGCAGGAGGGTGTGTGATGAAGTGGCTCCTACATGTTTTAGCCAGTGTCTCTGCCTCCTGACTGTCTGGCTATGCCTTTTGTTAGGACTTAGGAATGAGACTGTAGTCTTTATGCCTTGGCACATTCTCTAGCCTCTGCTGCCTCATGCTTAGCTGCTAACACTGACACAGTCACTAGCAAGCACTATTCAAAACTTACTTTCCAAAACAAGCATTTTGATCTACTGAGAAGTCTGAGACATGGTAGAAGGTTGGGTAAGCTAAGGTCCCAGGTGCAACAGTGAATGGAAAGAAATGGTCTTTGGTCTGAGACTCCTCTCTTCCAGGCTGCCATCTTACCATTCCTAGTCTTCATATTATATGCCTGTGCTTGTTGTATAACTTTCCTCTAAATCTTACCCTTACTTTCCTCTGTCTCCTACCCCATTGAGGACTGAACACACATGCATCCAGGAATAAACATAGGGCTTCAGGCATGTGAGGCAAGTGTTGTACCATTGAGCTTCAGTGAGGTAGAGATTCTCAATTTTTCAACCCCTGGAATTACAGGTGTGTGACCACTAATCCTCAGATCTAGCAAACATTTTTTGCTGTTTTCAAGACAGGTTGTTTTTTTTTTTTTTTTTTTTTTGCAAAGATTAAAGGCACACACACACACAGTCTTTAACTCAGCATTGCTAGTTAGTCACAGGTGGCTACTTAAACTTTTCATCATTATGAGAAAGGGACAATTTTTTCAATTCTTTCAAATATCGAAAGTTAGTAGTAATTCTTTTCACAGTTGGGGATTGAAGCCAGGACCTCATGCTAGCCAGGAAAGCACCAAACCAGTCCCCATTAATACCACATAGGCAGTGGACATGTTTCATCCCTACATTTCAGATCTGATGCATTATAACAGTTAAGCTAATGTCCTTAGGTTCCTTTACTAGCCACCAGCCCAAGCCCAGATACATGAGCTGAGGACCACATAGATCTGCCTTCTTACCGCTCACTTTTATGTGTTCTTACCTGTTTCTTTATACAGAAGTGATGGGGATAGAATGCAATCAAGAATATTAGCACACTTCCCACTGAAGTGAGGTACATGCATACAGGGGTGTGACTCCAGGAGTATTTAAGAGAGTCCTTTTCTGAGTTCTTGACAGCTGCGAGGCAGGAATTACATCCTAGCCAATGACTGACATACAATTCCTGACCAGTAGAATCTTACCTCCATTCCTCGGTCAATGGCAACTTTGCCCAGTCGCACAGCAATGGGTGCCTAGGGGAGAGAACATCCAGAGACTTGGACTAAAGAGATTCAAAGCTCTCGGAAGTGAAGAGCTTTGGACGGGAAGGTGCAGGTGTGATTCTGCATCCAGCCTTCCCACTGATAGACCTCTTAAGTCAAGCTTCCTTTTCCGTAGTGAAAGCAGCACACATTCTGGCCATTTAGTCTTAAGCAGGCGAGGCTGTTATGCAATCCATTCACAAACTATAACTGTCTTTGGTGCTGGACCTTAAACCCAGAGTGTCACCCATGGTAGGCAAGTGATAGGTACTGAGTTAGAGCCATGTTGGGCTCCTTGCCTCTGCAAACATTTAATATAAGATCTTGCAGAAGCTGGTCTTCCCTTGTGGTCCTTAGTCTCAGGATGACAGGCATGTGCCACAAAGGTGATAGCAGAGTGCTTATGGACAACACATTTTACAGTTGTGAAATAGAGGCTCATGGGATTTAAGCACCGGGGCCATGAGGATTCATCGAGTCCCCCAACTCCCAGGCATCTTCCTACTGTTCCTTTCCTTCTAGCCCTCATCCCAGCAAGTGCTAACATTTTCAGTTTTATTTTATGCTCTTTTCTCTCTTATATTTGGTTTGTTTGCACTGTTTTTGTCATTAAAATGAGCACTTGACAGCACCTGGGAAGTGGAAGCAGTCAGATGAATTTGAGGCCAGCCTGAGCTACATGAGACCTCTCCCTCCCCCTCCCCCAAATCCCGCAAAAAACATAAGTATCTCTGGTTATGTGAATATATAAAAATTAGAAATACAGTGGATAAAATTCAGGTGTTAATTGGGAATAAGAACAGTGGGTCAATGTGGCCTTAGTATGTTCGTTTCTTTGATGGTCAAATGGCAAACAGCCAACTCCTTCAGCTAAAGGTTAATGAATCTTAATCGTTCTGAGTAAACTCTAGAACCATTCCACTCCCTATACAATGGCTTGCTCACTAGGTGGTGATTGCTGCTGTACAATCCCTATTCAGAAAGTTGTAGTTGTGGGACAAGCAGTCCGTATGGGTAGGCCCACAAATTACTTTGATTTTACTTTAGAGACAAGGTCTTGTTATGTAGCTCTGGCTAGCTTGCTATGTAGACAGGCTGGCCTCTGCTGGGTTTAAAGTTATGTGTTGCCTATCGTTCCTGAGTTTTGTTTTTTTCAGTAGTAAGGAGTGACCCTATCTAGAGCCTTCTGTATGCCAGGCAAGCATTCTACCACTGTCACAGTCCCAACCCTCCCTCCAGCTACTTTTGAAGCACTCAAATGCCTGTAACTCTAGGATGATGATGCCATTGTTCCACATACTTCACTATTTGAAAATCTTAATCACCCTGAACTTCTGGTTATTCAAAAAGGCAATTACGGAGCCTACATGTGCAGCTAGCTTGCTCCACTTGCTCTCTGGAGGTTTTAGAGACCTGTCAGAAGTCTGAGCATAAGTTGCCCACAAGGGGCATCAGGCTCCATTTATACTCTGATCCTTGCCAAAGAACACATAGAGAAGTTTCCCCTCCCCTTCCCCCCAACTCCTGCCACCAAAAAAAAAAAAAAAAAGTTCAGGGGGCTGAAGACAGGTTATTTATTTATTTATTTTGTTTTTTTTTGGGGGGGGGATGGGGTTTCTCTATATTGCTTTGAAGTCTGTCCTGGAACTAGATCTGTAGACCAGGCTGGCCTAGAATTCAGAGATCTGCCTGTCTCTACCTCCCGAGTACTAGTATCAAAGGCGTGTACCACCACCACTGCCTGGCTTTTCAAATGTAGTCTTAATGTTAAACTGATATATAGCTAATATTTTTTTAAGTTTATATTTTTGACTATTTTGTAACATTTTAAAATGTTTTGAAATTAATATATTTTAAAATTTTGTACATTTTACTTGTCCATGAGTGTCTCTGTGTTTGTGTGCATGTCCACCTCTGGTGTTCAGGGACCTCAAGACAGCCTCACATTTCTTCCTCTGGTATGCTGGTCCACATTTTTTTAAGACCATGTCTCTCATTTACTTCCCATTAAAGTTGCCTGGTCTCCAGACCCCTGGCTTTTTTTTTACATTTGTTCTGGGGGTTAAACTCAGAGTTTCATGCTTTCAAGGCAAACACCTTACTGGCTGATCTCCCCAGACACATACATATTCTGCAGTCCTAAATTTTATGGTAATGTGTGTTCCAATGCTTGGTGACCTTGAGTTCAGTTGCCTTATACCTTTATGAAAATGAGGTCTCACCTCCCTTCTAGCTTCTTTTGTGAAAGCCAGCAGACCTCAGAACCTTGGAGACCCAAGTCAGCTAGATCCTGGGTCTAAACCAACCCAGCAAGCAGTTTAAATCTTGAGGGATCAACCCCTTCAATGCTGGAGAAGAACCTAGGACTCATGCATATACCCCAGGCTAGCTTTTAACTCACTAGCCAAGGATTAATGGTTGCTTAGCATGTATGAAGTCCACTCCACCAACCCCTAATCCTTCCTTAAGGATTTTAAAAAATGAGTTAATGTATGTCCTATTTCAAGAGACAATTCAATATGCAGTGTGGTAGGTAAGGTGACTGGTAACATATTAGTTTTCTAGTCTTTGGGGACACTTGATGGTAGTGCTGTGTAATATCACATGTGCTTACTGGTATTCAAAAGGTATCTCTTGTACAGTTCCAGGAAACATCTGGCGTCCCATCATACCTCCCTTGTGTGCCCCAGCTGTCACCTTACCTGGGGCAGGATCTCCTGAGCTAGTGTTAGCGCCCGGTGGTAGGCAGCATTGCCCTCCTCATTCTGAGCCACGGTGTGATTTACCAGGCCCAATTCATGGGCCTGCATCCCATTCAGTCTCCGGCCTGTGAAGATGAGCTCCTTCGCGAGGGCCACGCCCAGGCAGCGAGGCAGCCTCTGAGTCCCTCCTGCCAGTATGGAGAGGGGGGAGCAGTGAGTCAGGTTGAGAAGGCTTAATCTAGAGAAACTCATCTTGGGGACAGGACGGAAGGAGGAAATGACCTAGGGAAAGGAAGTGGGAAAGGTGAGCATAGTCATGTGAAGTTACCTGCTCCTGGGAGAAGTCCTCGAGTGGTCTCAATTAGCCCCATGACAGCTGAGGAAGCTGTTTAAACACAAAAGTATAATAAAGTTGGCCCTTGCCCATCCTCCATTACCAGTCCCTGGGCAGACCATAGCTCTGTCTCCCCAGCTACTTCCTCAAGGTCTAGACATGCCCAGACCCTGCCCAGGCCAGCCACCCACCACCCCAGCTGCTGTGGTCAGTAGGCCTTCCCTTCCTGAGCATCCATGGTGGGAAAAGATGGCAGCCCTTCTGCCAGTATCACACAGACTGGGGAGCAAATGAAGTGCCAGCAACAGGGAAGGAATCCCCAGCGGGTGCCTGGCATTGATTGGTAGGTTACTGAGTTTTCTGTCTCATGGACCCTGAGATCTAACCTGGACTGTTAGCTTTATGGCTCTCCCTCACAGGGTGTGTCAGCCTGAAGGTGCATAGCACAGTCTTCCTAAGTTTTGCTTTCCTGAGTGCTTTTCCTTTATAGTCCTTTGCTGAGTTCCCTAAGTATAGACTGTGTGACCTGTGCGGCGTAGGCAGTAAAACAGGGCTGCACCTTTGCTCAAGGGTTTTCATTCTTCACTCTGAGTTAGCTACCTGAACCTTGGGCAAGTGAGTGGCCTCCTGCAGAATTCTGTTGCCTGACTGTAGGATCAAACCCTCTCCAGCTACTTTGTGTGCATGGTGCTGGGAATGGAACCAAGCCTTAAGCATGCTAGGCAAACCCTCTACCACTGAGCCATACCCCAAATCTCAGTTCAAGTCTCTCACACACTGTGATGGAAACCACCTTCATGCCTGGATACATAATTTAATGTTGCTGGGAGGCAGAGGCAGGTGGATCTCTGGTCTACAGAGCAAGTTCCAGGACAGACTCCAAAGCTACAGATAAACCCTGTCTTGAAAAAAGAAAATAAAACAAAGCAAAAAAAGACCAATGGGGCTGGAGAGATGGCTCAGTGGTTAAGAGCATTCACTGACTGCTCTTCCAGAGGACCTGGGTGCAATTCCCAGCACCCACATGGCAGCTAACAACTGTAACTCCCAAGATGTAACACCCTCACACAGAGATACATGCAGGCAAGAATAAAATAAAAAAAAGATACTAATGATTTTGATTATCCTCCACAATTTAGGGCTCAACTGTAGAACAAGTAACCACAAACCTGAACCAGAACACACTGTCCAGTCATCTTTGCAATGAGCTGGGACAGTGACAGTCTTTATGGCTCACCTTTGTTCAGTTCAAGTAATCTGATTTGGCCAGACCTAGATGGTCAGATTCCCTAACTTTGCCTCCTTTGGCTTTCCCTCTCTTTGCTTCATGGTCAGTTGTGGCTCAACGGTTTTTGCAACCTTTCTTAGATGAGGAAAGCAGCTCTCACAAGCATGGCATATAGCAGCAGTGGGAGGTGAAGCAGCTTCACCTGCTTCCCACGTCTCTTAACACTGACTGCCAGGGTTTTTCTCTTGTTTGGAAGGCTGAGAGTGGTGTCTGACTTCACCACTGCCCAGTGTCTGACTTGCCCAGCTTGGCAAGTCCCACCCCATCCCCACAGCTCTACCCTGCCAAGTACCTGCTATTCGGAGGTCACAGGCCAGGGCAAGTTCCAGGCCCCCACCCAAGGCAAACCCATCCATGGCTGCAATAGTGGGTGCAGGGAAGGCTGCTGTGGAGACAAAGATTGACTTAGCCTGCAAAACTTAGCAGGTCAGGACAGAGGGCCTTGCAGATCCCAGGGTGAGGAACTTCACCTGATAACCTCAGCCAGGTTATCTGAGGAACTTACCCTATTTTTCCCAATATGTAAGTTCTAGGTCCCACCGGGGATTGGAAACAGGGTTGATGCTACAGATACACCCTCTTTGGGGACCTCTCTCCCTGTGTGCCAAGCCTTGTGCAGGGTGCTGGCATGGAACTCAGCTAGGTGTCCCCCACCACCGCCATGGGAATCAGTCTAAGAAGGAGGGCAGGCTCATAACCAGGCAATGACACTCTGAGCCTTCTGTGCTCTGAGAACAGATTGCTTAGAGCTGGTGAGAGGACTTCTTGTAGGAGGAAACACTGGAGGCCCTTAAAGGGTTGCTGAAAAGTCAGGTAGCTCGGAAGGATGTGCCAGGCAATAGGAACAGCCATTATCAAAGCCTGAAAGTTCAGTGAACTTGACTACTTTGCAGTTACTAGGCAGGAACCCTGAGGACAAGGAGGTGTGCTTGGTGATATATGCATGCCTGCAATCCCAGCAACATGGGAGTTCCAGCCTAGACTACCTAGGGTGTCTAAAATAATAGTTTCTAAAAGGAGGAAGAGAAGAAATGTCCCGTGTCGTCATGTCCGTCCCGTCCCCCAGTTCCCCCCGCCCCCCCATCTGCTCTGCTCTGTGTAACCACTTGTGTCCTTAGCTCAAAACAGAATGCTCTCTCTAGAGAAAGGGCGGGGCCAGGCAGAGGCGGAGCCAGCCGGGGGCCCTCAACCCTCCTCAGACTCTTACCAATCTCACTCATCAGGCCTCGGAGCCTCTGGACAAAGAGCCCCACCTCCACAGCACTCATTTGCTCCCGTTCCTTCAGGTCTGCACCTGCAGAGGGCAAGCTTCTGGTGACCACTATGAAATGGCATTACAAAATCCCAGGTGGTTAAAGGTGCCAGCAGAAGCAGTGAGAGCCAGAGGAGCAGGCCAGGGGCGGGGCAGATATCAGTAAAGAGATGGGCAACCCGCATCAAAACAAGGTAGACTTCTTCAAAGTGAGCGTCCTTTGTACATCAAAGAACATTGTCAAAGGTCTGGAGAGATGGCTTAGTGGTTAACACTGCTCTTCCAAGGACCAGGCTCTGCATGCGAGAAGAAGGCATCAGATCCTATTATAGATGGCTGTGAGCTACTATGTGGTTGCTGGGAATTGAACTTAGGACCTCTGCAAGAGCAGCCAATGCTCTTAACTCCTGAGTTACCTCTCCAGCCCCCTAAAAATAAACCTTAAAAAACATAAAAAGAACAATGTCAAGAACATGAAGAGAAAACTCACAGAAGAAAATAACTTTCTCTTCTCTCTTTTTCTCTATATATGTATATATACATACATATATATCTGTGTAGCTCTGACTGTTCTGGAACTCACTATGTAGACCAAAGTGGTCTCCAACTCACAACTCACAGAGATCTACCTGCCTCTGCAGAGTGCTGGTATTAAAGGCATGTGCTCCCACACCTGGCCTTTAAATATTTTATTTTTATTTTAAATTATGTATGTGTTATGTGTGTGCACACCTATGCAGAGGCCAGAAGAAAGCAATCGATCTGCCAGAGCTGGAGTTACAGATGGTTGTGAGCCATCTAATGTGGGTTCTGGGACCCAAACTCAGGCCCTCTGCAATAACAGTTGTGGTGGTCTGAATAAAAATGGCCCCCATGGGCTTGTCTAGTTGAATGTTTCAGTCACTAGGGAGTGCACTATTGGAGAAGGATTAGGAGGTGTGGCCTTCTCCTGTCTCCCTCTCCTCTCCCCCTTGCCTTTTCTGATCAGGATTTGCTCTCAACTTCTCCACCACCATGCCTGCCTAAGGCAGCTATATATGCTCTCAAATGCTGAACCTCTCTAGCCTTCAGAGAGATGACTTTCCACCCCCACCCCCCAGCAAATCACAAGCTGGGGGTTGGGGGTGGCAGCACACACCTCTAATTCCAACACTCAGAGGTGGAGACATTAGGATCAGAAGTCCAAGACCATCCTCAGCTACAAAATGAGTTCAAGACCAGCCTGAGCTACAGGAAAATGTCTCTAAAAAACAGAAAGGAAGGAAGGAAAAGAAATAAAACTAAAGATATTATTTTTATCTTGTCAGTCTCAAAAGTTCTGGATAATGGCATGTGCCATCACACTTAGCTAATTAATCCTGTAAAGGTTGGACTGTGGGATCTTAGCCTGGGGGCTAAGAGCTATGGTTTTTTTTTTTTTTTTTTTTAACTTATCTCTTGTAGGCCTGGGGTGCATGTTTCTCTGGGGTTTGAAACAAGTTCAAGGTGCCCTTGTGAGAACCAGGTGATACAGTTGGTGGCAGTGCTCTAGTGACAAGGACTGGAATTTACCTTGTGAGCATGTTGGGACTCCGTGTCTGTTTCTTCCATAAAGGGTCAGAAGAAGACAATGTAGACCAGAAAGACCAAGTTCAAAGCAAATTCTATGCTATCCCTCACTAGCTGTGTAAAACAAATTGGCTGAGGAACTTCCTGTCTGTAAAATGGGACCATGTTCTATGGCAGAGCCCTAAGGCACACCAATCCCTGAGGAGTGGGGGTGGGTGGGAAGGAACCCACCTGCACAGAACACACCCTTCACTGCACTTCTGAAGATCAGGACACGAACTTGCTGGTCTTCCCGAAGCTGGGCCAGAGCCTCCAGAAGCTGTAGAGAATAGAGGACATGTGTTCAGACACCTCCTCACCCATCTCTGGCCATGGCCCTGGGGTACCCTTTCTCACCTCACTGACGAAGACCTTCCCCAGGGCATTTCGGGCATGAGGCCTGTTCATCAGAACCTCGGTGATTCCTGCAAAGGACAGGCAGCCTTGGTGAGCCAGCCGGCCTGTTAGTCAGAGATACAGGCCTGGAGCAGGAGCTTTTCCCCATGAGGAGCACTGTGAGTTGCAGCAAGGCACATACTAGACTGGAGGTTAAACAGAATAACCTTTACTCTCCTGCCCCGGAGAGGGAGTAGGAGGGCTTGTGACTGAACCAAAGCCACAAGAGAAACAAGAGCTACCAGCATGGCACACTGACCCACAAATGCTCTCATTTATGTGCCTTAGTTCCCTCCATAGTATTCTTCCCCATCCCCACCCACACATTTCCCTGTAAAGAGTAACATTCAGGCAGCCAGGATAAAGAAATAGATCCCAGCACTCAGGAGGCAGAGGCAGGCAGATCTCTGTGAGTTCGAAGTCAGCCTGGTCTACCAGAGCTAGTTCCAGGACAGACTACAAAGCCACAGAGAAAGTGTCTCGAAAAACCAGAAAAAAAAAGGGGGGGTGGACAGAGACCCAGGGATGAACTCAGATTGTCAACGAACACCCCTACACACTGAGCCATCTCTCTGGCACTGAAAATAAATATTTTATTTATTTATTTTGTTTGATTTTCCAAGATTGGATTTCTTTTTGCAGCGTTGGCTGTCCTGGAACTCACTCTGTAGATCGGGCTGGCCTCAAACTCAGAGATCCACTGCCTGGCCTCCCAGGTGCTGGAACTAAGGGTGTGTATGTACCACCATTGCCTGGCTTACTTTATTTTTTCTTCTTGAAGATTTCTTTATTTTTACTAGTGGGAGCTGGAAAGATGGCTCAGCAGATAAGAGTACAAGCTGCTCTCCCAGAGGATCTGGGTTCAAGTCCCAGAACCCACGGGATTGCTCACAACCTTTTATCAACAGTTAGTTTCAGGGGATGTGACAGGCTTTTCTGGCCACCAGGCTTCTTGTGTGATATACAGACATAAATGCCCGCGAAGGACATAAAAAAAATATTTTTAAAAGTGTGCCCTGGGGCATATGCAACCAGCTAACGCACCTAAGGTGCAAACAAACATCCGTACTTCACAACATTGTACAACAGAAGACTTTGCTGTCAATGGTCGTGAACTTGCCCTGTGTGTCCGCGGACCCATACCTGCGCCTCCCTTCCTCCTTGTCCTCTCAGGTCCATCCGGATTGGATCTGCCGCCTCCGCCCCCTGATCATTGCCAAGAACCGACGAAGGAAAAGTCCTGGCCGACACGCTTGGTCCTGATCCCCGGTTTGCTCCATTCTGAGCTCTCCTCTCCTCTTCACACCTCCCCCAGGCCTCCAGAGAGTTTGGGGAGACAGATTCAGACAAAGTCCACCCTGCAGCGGCCTGAAATCCAATCCTCCTTCCCTCGCGCCTTAGTCTCCCGGGGTGTTGTTTCCCCGCCCGCCCAGCCCTCAACTTTACCTTTGTCTGGACCTGTCAGTGCGTGCACTTGGATCTCGGGTGCCCCGGTCTTCACGCCGGAGGCGCAGTCGCGGGCCCCCGGGGACCTCCAGGGCCGCGAGAGGCACAGCGCGCGGGGCAGGGCGCGCAGCATTGGGAGCAGGCTGGCTCGGTGCCTCGGAGACCCGCAGCCTCCTCCACTGAGCTGGAGAGTCGAAGTTCCGGGGCGGGCGAGGCCTCGCAAAGGGCTCCGCCTACGGGCGGAGAGAAGGGTACAGGCCCACGATCTGGGAGACCCCGAGTCAGTGTGGGAAAGCTCAGCTTCCCGGTGAGATCTGTTTTCCTCCGAAGACGAGGTGAGGAAGGCGGTGTCCAAACCGAAATATGTGGTGTGCATCTTCACGTGTACCCTCAGGTCATGTCATCTCATTAGTCACTGGGGGGTCTCATCTCTCAGAGGCAGTAAGGCCACTGCTGGCTCCTCCCTGTTTAACGAACTACCTTTGGCTCATAAAGATAGTTATGAACCACCAGTTTCTGAATTCGATTGTCCACCTAACCTACCTTTGTAGAGGCCTTGACGGGACCTGTTGGAATATCCAGGGTGAAACAATCACGTGTCTGAGGTGAACAACCCCATAGCCAAGCTACGGGCACACTGTTAAGCCATCTAAGAGTAAAACTCATGCCACTGATATCTGTATGTGCACACACACCGAGGAAGAGTGTTTCTGTTAACTAAGACCACGAATAGCCAGATATCTGCAGCTAGGCAGTGATCTCAAGGCCAGCCTGTGGCTAACAACACAAAATAACAAATAACACAGCAAACTATACAATCTGTATTCAAAATACTAAAGAAGGAGAAAAAACTGTTTATCAAGATAACCACGTTCAACAAACTGTCTCTTAAAAGAACCGTGTGCGGTGGTGGCACATACCTTTAATCCCAGCGCTCAGGAGGCAAAGGTAAGCCGATTTCTGTGAGTGTGAGGCCAGCCTGGTCTACAGAGTGAGTTCTAGGACAGCCAAGGCTACACAGAGAAACCTGTCGCAGAGGCAGGGAGAGTGAAGAAGTTGAATCCCAGCACTCCAGAGACACCAAGGCAGGTATATTTTTTTATGAGTTCAAGGCCAACCCGCTCTACATATTGAGTTTTGGGTGAGCCAAAACTCCACTCAGACACTGTCAAGGAAAAAAAAAAAATCCTTGCAGTTACCAAAAGAGAACAGGAAAGGTTATTGGAATATCAGACAAAATGCCTTTATTTATTTATTTTAATGTGTTTGGGTGTTTTGCCTGTGTACCCTGTATGCCTGGTTTCCAGTGGAGGTCAGAATATAGTCAGCCATCACCTTTCCTGAACTGGAAAGATGGACAGATTTCTGTGTGTTTAAAGGCAGCCAGGGTTACATAATGAGACCCTATCTCAATATTAAAAACACAAAGAAATAAGAACCTTCATTTAACTTAAAACATTATTTTATTTTTTGTGTATGACTTACTATATTTTGTGTATGAGTGTTCCGCCTACATATATGCCTATGCGTCACGCGCTATCCTGGTGCCCCCCAGAAGCATGAGAGGCATCAGTTCTGAAACTGGAGTTACAGATAGGACAAAAATTGGGAACTACGGATGTCTGGGTCAAGTGTTGTCTGGTTGATCACTGTCACTGTTATGGTTCCAAAGAATTGTTGTTGCTTGAGGGGAGGGAGGGATTGACTGCTGGGAAGCAATGGGTATGCTCCAGTACACAGCCTTGCCTTCATCTGAGTGTGGTCTTAATAGGCTCTGCAGTGCTTGGAATCAAGGTGACTGCAGAGTTAAGACAAGGACTAATTCTGTGCTTTGATGTGTTTCTATGAGGAAGCTAACAGGCAACCCAAAGGTAAAGACAACAATAGAGACTAGGCTTGTCTTTACTCTGCCTGGAGTTGAATAAAATACAGAAATGTACCAAAGACTGTTAACATTTTTTCCTATTGTTTCCTGGGTTTTCACTGCAATATAATTATTCTATTAAGAAAAAATGTTTTCTCAAGACAAAATAGTGGGGGGGGGGGATGTACATCTTTAATCCCAGCACTCGGAAGGCAGAGGTAGGCTGATTTCTGTGAGTTCCAGGCCAGCCTGGTCTACAGAGTGAGTTTCAGCACAGCCAGAGCTGTTACACAGAGAAACCATGTCTCAACACCCCCCCAAGACAAAATAGAGAGAAATCATCACATAAAAGGAAGAAATATAGAAGTTACACATATGAAATATATTTTTGTTAGAGAGGGTTAAAAAAGAAAGGGAATTCTTCTAATGGTTAGGTGGTAAATTAGTTTTGATTGATGGTAAATGATTGTTTCAAAAGGAGATAGAAATGAGGATAGAAACCGGAAGTCTAAGTATATTACAAAAGGTATTCATAAGGCACAGGAATTAAATGAGATAAAATATAAAAGATAAAAGATAATGTGCTGGTGAGTGTCTTGACACAAACTGGAGTGACCTACGAAAAGGGAGCCTCACTTGAGAATTGCCTCCATCAGACTGGCCTATGGATATGTCTGTGAGTCGTTTTCTTTCTACCTTTTTTGAGACAGGATCTCACTCTGTAATCTGAGATATCCTGGTACTCACGGAGATCTGCCTGCCTCTGCCGCCCAAGTGCTAGGCTTAAGAGCATGTGCCACCAAGCCTGGCTCTGCACTTCCTTGATTAATGATTGATATGGAAGGGCCCTGCCTGCTTCGGGCAGTGCTAAGCCTGGGCTGGTGGTCTTGCATTGCATAAGAAAGCAAACTGAGCAAGTCTTAGAAAGCAAGCCACTGCCTTAGTTCCTGTCTTCAGGATCCTGATTCGGTTTCCCTCAATGAATGAACGATGGATCTATAAGCCTAATAAACCCTTTCCTCCCCAAGTTGCTTTTTGGTCATCCTGTTCATTAAAGCAACAGAAAGCAAATGAAGACAGATGGTTCGTATAAGATTTAGTTCACTGTAGTTAACGATCATGTTTCCTAAGGGCAGGATGCTTATTTCATCCTATTTATTTATTTATTTATTTATTTATTTATTTATTTATTTGAGACAGGGTTTCTCTGTATTGCTTTGGAGCCTGTCCTGGAACTCACTCTGTAGACCAGGCTAGCTTTGAACTCACAGAGATCCACTGCCTCCTGAGTGCTAGGATTAAAGGCAAGCACCACCAACACTTGTCATTTTTTTTATTTTTCAAGACAGGGTTTCTCTCTGTGGCCCTGGCTGTTCTGGAACTCCTTCTGAGACCAGGCTGGACTTGAACTCAAAGATCCACCTGTCTCTGACTCCTGAGTGCTGGGATTAAAGGCTTGTACCATGCCACCACAACCTATTATTCTTATGTACACATTGGAAATAAGCTACAAAAGCAGTCAATGGGACCGAGTACTCCAAATTAAGTTTTGAATTTGGCTTTTGAGGTTTTTCAACAGGAGTCAGTAGTGTGAGATCTTGAGCTGGAGTTATAGTTGTGAGCCCCCTGCCATGGGTCTGGGAAACAAACTCTGGTCCTCTGAGAGAGTAGTGATCTCTCTGCACTGCTGAACCATTCCTCCAGCCCCTCCACTCTTTGTGGAGTGGATCTCATTGTGTAGTGTAGCCCTGGTTGGTCTGATACTGGCTGGCCTCACTCAGAGATATGCCGATTCGTCATGCACTAATATGCTCAGTTATTTCCTCACATCTATGAGAAACCAAGGCACTGGGAAACAAGTGTCCTCGGTGGTGTTCTACAAAAGCAGGGTTTTGTCCTGTACAAAAATCGAGTGTTTGCCTATCGTGCAGAAAGCGTTGGCTTCAGTTCTTAGGGTGGTAGAAACCAGGGGTGATGGTACAAGTTCTCTTCAGATAGAGGCAAGAGAATCAGAAGTTGAATTCAAGGCCATTCTGGGATACAAAAGTCCCTCTCTTAAAAGGAAATAAAACGAAACCTAACTAACCAAGATTGTCATTTTAGGGAGCAAGCCACATAAAGATGGCTCTCCTTGGACAAGGCACAGTCATGACTTTGCTGGCTCTTAACCTTTCAGAAGGCCATTGATTGTTGTGATCAAGTCATAGTAGGGTGTTCAGTCGTCCCTTTAGGCAAGGGTACTGCCCGCCACAGCATGGAAGGAGTGATCATCATCCGGCAGCTCCCACCAGTGATCTCCGGCACAACATCTCTCAAACAAATTGACAAAGAGGAAGGATGGAAGCCGCCAGCTCCAAGAGGACAGACAGACAACTCTACACGGTCACCTTTGGTAGCCTGAAGAGTCCCCTTCACCGGGACTCACCAGGAGACTGAAGCAGGGTGGGTGTTGGCGGAACCTCCAGCTAAGCCCTCTCCAAACCCTACCTCCCCGGAAAAGCCACCAGAAGTCCAGGCTCCTCCCCCAAAGCTGCTTGCTGCTCAAGACCAAGCCTGCAGGGTATTTGAGCCCCCTCCTCTAGACCAGCCATGTGGTTTCTCTTGCTCCCTTCCTTCACCTCACCTCTGGGGGCTGGAAAGGTCATCCAGGGGTGCTTTGCCCAATAAACTTGGTCTTTTACTTTTAATTCTGCTTGAACTAGCTTACTTAGTTGGTGGAGAAACCTAATATCAGGGTACCAATGCCTTTCAGTGGGGATTTCTTTTCCTTTCTTTCGTTCTTTTTTTTTTTGTTTGTTTTTGTTTTTTCAAGACAGAGGTTTTCCTGCTTCTGCCTCCCCCGAGTGCTATGGGCCACTACCGCTGGGCCAGTGGGGATTTCATTAAAGAAATGTTTTAGGAAATACTTCGTTAAAGAGATATTTTATATACACTTAAGCATGAGGGTTAAAAGGAAAGAAAGGCAGCTGGAGAGATGGCTTAGTGCTTAAAAACACATATTGTTGTGGAGGGGACTGGACTACCATTCCCAGGACCCACCTGGG